CAACAGCAATCCTGATAAACAAATGAAAGTGTTGGCAACCTTTTGTGACAAGTTGACAAGCACGATCGCAACACCTAAACGTCTTGCGGTGATCCTAGAGTCGCCAATCACCTCAATCTAGCAAAAGCTAAATCGAGATGGGTTTTGATAGATAACCGGCTAGCGGAGCCGACTCTAAATAACTACCCGTCTCGTGGGTAAAACAGAAGTTTTTCAGGATAAATCTACAAAGAGGTGTCGCACTCTCGCAGTGGCGGCGGACGATTTACGGCACAATCGACAAAGATGGACAAACTAAGAGAAAACTAAAAGCAATATGAAAAACGATTCAATTGATTGATTGTAGATTGATTGTTAGAATGAACCGGCCTTACCCCCTTATATAGGGGTTGGTCTTGCCCTCTACAGGCCCTCCTCCACGTCCAACTTGGGATAGAATCCAAAGGAAACCCGAAACATGCCTTCCCGAGTAAGGAAACCCAAGATCCGACAAAAACAGCCCCGGACTCGAACTCGGCCAGTCAGACCGGCCACACACCGCCGGTCTGACCGGCCAACACATGGCGGTCAGACCGGCCAACACATGGCGATCAGACCGGCCCTCTCTGGAGGAAACCGGCAGAACTCCAAACTTTGATAATCTTTTCCTATTTCTATCCTAGATACCAAATTTAGGTGTAAACAGGAAGCACAAAAGTAAGGGAGGGTATGTTAACTAAATACTCTATACGTCTCTAATAACGTCTCTAATAAAAAATTGTTGTTTTAGCTAGTTAAAAGTAACTTACGCAAGAGATAGTTTAACGAGGAAAATGATAGAGTATCTCTTGGTCCAATGGCTAGAACAAAGAAAATGTAGAAATGGTATTAAAGAGGTTTAATGACCCCACTAAACATTCTTTGCAAAACAAAGCTTCTATCTACAAGACAATTTTCTTTGAAGATATATTTTTAAAGGTAGGAGCGGATGTATCATAGGAGCGACGAGGACTCAAGTCTCTACTACTGAAGTTTGAAGCGAGGATAATGGGAGTCTCCACCTAATCCCTACTAATTTTTTTTCTATATATAGATAGAAATGGGACTATAACTTTAACTTTAACTAATTTATTTAGATCTTGATATTTGTTTCTAGATCCGTCACTGCTTTTATGAAGGGAGAGAAGCCAGTGAGCGTTCTAAACTTTTGTGGTCCTCTTAATTTAATTTAATAATCCGACTCCTCAAAGCATCGCAAACTTGTACCACAAGAACAGCGACAGACCAACTGAAACCGAATGCATCGTGCTTTTGCCTCTTTTTTTTTTCCTTTTCGTTTCTCCTTTCTAGGAATCCTAAGAAGTTCAGTTTGTTTGTTCAGAAGATCAACGGCTGCTACCAAATTAACTAACAACATATACAAAAAAAATCCATGTTCAGAAGAATGATCAATAATTGACTGATGAATAGCCCTCCATATTTTCAACTGTTATATACTTTCTTTCTTTCTCTGAAGATTTAGCTCGATCCCATGTGTTCGAAGATCAAATTAAGCCTATATATTCATTGACCCGCATGATGAGACTAAGGTTGAGTTCTAAACAACATTTTGCAACGCCTGCTTTCCTCATTCTCCACGAGCAAGCTTCCCAAGCTGCTAATTGATATATTTCATGTATAAAATTACCATATGGGAATTTTTTAAAAAACAAATTAATTAATTAATTTCAAGTTTGTCTTGTTTACTTAATGACTTGTCTTATTTTACGTGCCGCTAAAAAATTAGTTCAAACTTAGTCTAAGATTATGTTCTTTTGGAGGGGTTGGGAAACCTTTCCCTCTGGCACATAAAACAGAGCGATAGATAGCATATAATTAATTAAGTATTCGCTAAAAAACTTGAATATGTTTCTAAGGAAACTTTCCTATAAAATTTTAACAAAAAAACACCCCGTTTAACCATTTGGAAAGCGTGCACGCGGAAAATGAAGGAGTACAAGTTGAAAATTGGGATGAAAATTTTACCCATTGGTCTAGGTACCCACGGGTACTGCAGCCGATGGGCATAGGCATGGGTTAGATTTTGTGCTTATGGGTATGCCCAACCCAAATTCGAGGTATTAAAATTCGAGGTATTAACGGGTGTGGCGTGAGTTTTATTACCAATGCGTACCCAAATATTTATATTCATACATGATTTTTTTTGGAAGATTACGTGCCAACACTAAATCATGAATATGTAAGTGCAATAAAGTCATATACTACTAATGGCTTAATAATTTGCTTTCTTTTCCGGTGATGAAATAATTTGTAATTGTAGAATTTATAGATTTGGCTCGTATTTAATACTTTGTGAATGATTATAACTTGTAGTACTAATTGTTTGTGGTTTTTATACTTATTATCCTAGGTAGGGTGGGAGGAGTATATTTTTTGCTAAACTTTAAAACGGTAATTTATTTTTTAAATCTTTTAAAAAATAACTATAAAAAGAAAACAATCTCTACTTTGACCTTAAGCTTGGAAGTAGCAGTGAAAAATCAGGCCCATTTGGGGACTTGCATGCAGTGTGGGCGCATAGGCCCAGCTCCCAGCTCGATCGGACGATGGGCCTAATTTTTGCTGGCCTGGCCCAATAACCTTCTCTGACCGTGCTCCTTATGAGTTGGAACAGTGTTTCATGGTTCCTTGCAAGTTTGGTTTACTACACACCATATCTCTTCTCTACCGTTACAAAAATTGAAGATGTTTTTATCGGTATTTTAGTACGTTGTCTGTGTTTCTACCGTTACAAAAATTGAAGATGTTTTTATCGGTATTTTAGTACGTCATCTGTGTTTGAGTTAGTTTTTAAGTTTATTCGCTTTTACAAATACATATCCGTGTTTGAGTTGGATTTTAAGCTTGTTTGCTTTTGGAAATACAAAAGGAGCCGTATAAGAAATCTCTTTTAAAAAAACTCATGCTAACTTGAGATGAAATACAGACTCCTAATTGCAGCTCATGATTTTCTAAAAAAAATATTCAAGAGAATTCCCACAATGAATTTTACCCTAGCGAGACCGTATAACAATAATAAAATTAAAATAGCATTTACCCATTGTAACGCACGAGCATTTTTTTTAGTCTTCAAATATTTCTTCTTATCTATTAGTACTTAATTGTCCATTAGATATTCGATTTCTTTTGTTATTTTCATGTGTGGTGACAGATGTATTTGGAAAGTTTACGTGTCTTATATGAATAATTTAACACGTCCATTATAATTAATACTGGTGTGTCAGCACAACAATTCATTTACAGAAGCTAATCTAATATGATAAAATAGATACAATTGCCATTACCACAACAATAGTTAGTGGTTACCTTGAAACCGACTATTGGCTCATCGAACATGGTTGTCATTCTTGCCATCTTTATTTGTTGCTCTTCCTTCTATGCAGAAAATTTTGATACACCCTTTACGTATTACATCTAATACTCAGAAGATAATTTCTTTAGGGATAGTTTATAAATCAATACTAAACCCTCCACACAACACCTCCCTCTCTCTACTTACCACCATCGAGCTCCTTACCAGTGTCACCATCGGCATCAACAAGGAGCAATGCTTCTTCTCTATCGTTTTAATAGACCATTCTTTCCTACAATTATAGAGGAGGTTGTGATATCCTGAAACCAACAATCACCACCTCATACCAACATCTACCCTTAAGGTTTGTGACCCTCTTCTGTTTTTCTACATTAACTTGGCAAAGACTTAACGCAATGAGATCTTTAGTCGATAACGTCAATAAAGTTGCATAAGAAGATCCAAACACAAATCTTGAAATGAATTGATTTTTAAATATATATGGTAAATTTCTAAATTTCTTTTATGACGGTTAGCATATCTGAAAATAAATTCCCTACAATATTTTGCATGTTAACAAATAAATAAGTTACGTTCATCAACCTAACACGACAACCATTCTAGAGATGTTTTAGATACATGTTAAATTATGTGACAAAATATGAATAAAATATTACATGTTTATTTATTGCTAATTTCTTGATTTATAATAATCTATTTGTTATTTAAAAATGCTCAAATTATGTTGTTATCAAGTTGTGTGCTAGTGCAACCACCTATGCCTAGCCTATCGTTCCCTCTTCTTGATCCCATCTCATGACATCATTTGCTCTAACGGTATCATGACGAAAAACTTTACCTCCACACGTCAGCATTGGTGTACCCCTCTAACTACACCCTTCTCTGCCTTTCTCCCTTTACTCTCCTTTTCATTCTCCTCTATGTTGTCATCACCATCCTTTTTATCAACTTTAGTGAGTTTTATCTCGCCTTGCCTTAGATGGCTTACGTAATCGGATCCGCCACGCCATCCCGTGCTCCTAACCATATTGTCTCTCTTGTCCTTATCACCGACCATACTCATCATCTATCGCCCCCACTCATTTTGCTAGATTTTTTGTTCTCATTGTAATCCTTCTAACTCACCGCTTATCTACTCTCTCACGCTGTCATCTAAACTGAAAATCTAATCTAACCATTTTTACTCACCGTACCTGAAAAGACACCCCTATCATAAACTCATAATAAAGTTATCGTCGCAGTTACACCATTAAGGGTATGTTTAGTTCCAAAGTTTTTTTTTCCAAACTTCCAACTTTCTATCACATCAAACCTTTCATACATATACAACTTTTCAATCATATCGTCTCCAATTTCAACCAAATTCTAAACTTTGGGCCAATCTAAACACAGCCTAAAAACAAATTTAACAATATAGTAACTCTAACTCCTAGCTCCCCGTTGTTACATCATCTTATTATACTCGCTCTAATAGCGAGCCCTCCCTTCGTCTCATGGTCTCATATCTCCCTTTTATATACAACAACAGCTTTGATCAATCAATCCATCAACTCAGGTTAATTTGGTTAGTACTAGGAACAAACAAACAAAAAAAAAGGTGAAATTTTTACTGCTGTTTTGGTAAAGTGGGTTTTGGTAGGCAACTAGGCATACTGCTAACTGCTCTCCTCTCCTGCTACCTCCACGTTCTCCTCTCCTCTTCTCCCTTCTTCCCTTCTTCCTCCTCCTCCTCCAGATCCACCCTCCGCCGCCCTCATTTCGCAGCCGCGGGTTTGGATTACCGTGAAATGAGCTTTCTTCTCCTCTCTGAAAAGGTCAGTTTGGTGGTGGAAAGATTGGATTTTGATTCCCCCGATTCGCTTCCCCTCCGGAAAGATTCAACCTTGTCAGCTCTCCATCCCTCAACGAGGCAGTACTAGGAGCTATCAATCAGCTATGGCGGAGGCGGTGGATGGGGGCAGCTGGGAGGACATGCTGAGGAGGATCCTCCCGCCGGGGTCCCCCATCCCGGAGGCGCCGCCGAATCTCGATTACTCCATAGCCCTAGAGTACGACGGCCCACCGGTGGCCTATGACCTACCTAGGGTGGACCCCGTCGAGATCCCCACGGCGGAGCCGGTGTCCGGCCCGCAGAGGCTTGGGAACGGAGGAGGGTTGCCGGTTGTGGAGCCCATCCCGCTCCCAGTGTCCCGGATTGCCCGGTGCGCCGAGCCCGTGTCGGCGCAGGTCGGCGGCGGCAGCTCGGATTCGGTCAATTCGGTACTGCAGAATGAGGAGTTTGACGATGATGATGATGATTCCCGCTCGTTGTCGCATGATTCAGCGCAGAGCTCGCCGGGGCCGCAGGATAGGAGCCGCCGGACGCAGGAGGGGAGGAGAGGCGCCACGGTGACGTTCGGGTTCACGCCGGACAGCAAGTGTGAGAGCAAGGAGTTCGAGGAGATGTCCGAGCAGTACGTGGTGGTGACCAAGAAGGAGAAGAGGAGGAGGGCGTGCTATCGGTGTGGGAAGAGGAAATGGGAGAGCAAGGAAGCGTGCATCGTGTGCGATGCGAGGTACTGCGGCTACTGTGTGCTGAGGATGATGGGGTCGATGCCGGAAGGGCGCAAGTGCGTCACTTGCATTGGCCAGCCAATTGATGAGTCCAAGCGGTCAAAGCTAGGGAAGAACTCAAGGACACTCTCAAGGTTACTTAGCCCCTTGGAAGTAAGGCAAATATTGAAAGCCGAGAAGGAGTGCCAAGCAAACCAGCTTCGGCCGGAGCAACTTATTGTGAATGGTTGTCCACTGGGGCCAGATGAGCTGACAGACCTGCTTAGTTGCTCCCGGCCACCTCAGAAGCTGAAGCCTGGAAAGTATTGGTATGACAAGGAGTCAGGTTTATGGGGAAAGGTAAATTCATTATGAGCATACGGACACAATTTTCTTGTTATAAGTTTAACAGGATTTTGTGCTGATAAAACTGTTTTGTTCTGATAGGAAGGAGAAAAACCGGAAAGAATTATTAGTTCTAACCTCAGCTTTACTGGGAAGCTTCAGGCTAACGCCAGTAACGGAAATACCCAAGTTTATATAAATGGAAGGGAAATAACAAAGATTGAGCTGAAAATTCTAAAGGTACCAATGATTTCCATCTCTGTTTCTTTAGAACTGCTTCTCGCTATTAGCCGATCATGCTTTATTCTTCCAAGCTGCTTGTAGATAGTCCTTTTGGTGAAAAGCATGAATGATAAAATTAGTGCCTCCCAATTGCTTAGTACCTTTGACACAGTTATTTATATAGGTCATGAACCACTACACTTGGAAGGGGTATTTTATATAATTTGAAATATTCAAAATAAAAATACCCAACCATTAACTGTAACATAACTTGCCAATTAATTATACTATAAATATGCAAAAAATGGTCACTTTTGGTATAACCATAACCTTCGTTTTTGAGAAAAGTCTCACCTTTCATGCTTACTATTATTTGTAAGTTTCACTAAATGTAATCCTTTTCACAGCTTAGACAAATTAGGAAGTTTCACTAAATGCAGTGGGTTTGTCATTCCAGATAGCATGCTATTATTTGTTAGATAATGGAAAAGGATTACACATCAGGCTATTTAGTTCATCGACCAGAAGTTCCTGTTAGCAAGGGCTACTAAATGGCACTAGTGGTGAATGCTTTCTTTTAGCTAAACTGGGCCCTTGAATCAATGGCCAAGATTTAAAGATTTCTTTTACCACAAAATAAGCAATGCTTGTCACATCATTGGAATTGTGCTTGTAGGTTGCAAATGTTCAATGTCCTCGTGATACTCATTTTTGGGTTTATGATGATGGTCGCTATGAGGAAGAAGGACAGAACAACATCAAAGGAAAAATCTGGGAGTCGGTATGTATCTCGGTTAAAAAATAAATTAGAGTCCGTTGCCATTTCCTCAAACTTAAAAGCTAAATTTGCTTGTTGCTAATGATCATTTTATTCCCAGGCTTTGACACGTTTTGCATGCGCATTATTTTCACTTCCGGTGCCTCCTGGGAACTCTAATGAAACGAGAGATGAAGTTCACTATTCTGCAAGAACTGTTCCTGATTATTTGGACCAGAAAAGAATCCAAAAGCTGCTGCTTCTTGGACCAGATGGTGCTGGTACAAGCACAATTTTTAAACAGGTCTCTTATGATTTTCATTGCTATTTGATTGGTCTCTATCTCTCTGTAATTCACTGTAACTGGATCTGTATGAGATTACTTTGTTATGTAGTAATACTTTTGAGCGATGTAGAAATCAATTAATTGTAGCTGGCGACCTATGTTTGTGTGCTTCAGATACTTCCCACAGAGCAGAGATGGCATGAGTTGTTTTTATGTTGTAGCCAATAGCCACCGGACTTGTGTTCTTAGCATAAAACTTGGAAGTTTTTATTGATTTCTGACACATCATTATCGACTCTCAGTAGTAGTTTTGTTGTATCTACCTGGTAGTAGTGCCTGCAATTTTTCTAAGATACTAATTCTTGTATGGTCATGCTGATGATGTTTTGGGTATCATGTACCAGGCTAAGTACTTGTACGGGACAAGATTCACCCAAGAAGAACTTGAAAACATCAAACTGATTATCCAAAGCAATATGTTCAAGTACCTTGGAATTTTGCTTGAGGGTCGTGAACGCTTTGAGGAAGAAGCTTTATCTAGATCAAATTGCACAATTTCAGAGGATGAAGAAACCCAACAAGGTAAAATGGTCAATTCATTTGCTCCGGTGTTTGTTTCTGCAGCAATTCTGTATTGCTGAACTGGTTTCTGGGCTGCAGATGAAAATAAAGCAAATGGTTCAAATTCCTGTATATACTCGATAAATCCAAGGCTGAAGAAATTCTCAGATTGGCTTTTGGATATCATAGCGATGGGCGATCTAGATGCTTTCTTCCCTGCCGCAACGCGAGAATACGCTCCATTTGTTGATGAGATGTGGAAGGATCCTGCCATACAAGCAACATATAAAAGAAAGGACGAATTGCATTTCCTTCCTGATGTTGCTGAGTACTTCTTGAGCAGGGTACGATCTTTGATTTTTTTTATTAATATAATCCACTGTTGCTAGAGATGGTGCTTCATTATTCACATTGAAGTATATTTGTTTGATTACCACTATTTGTTACAAAAAAGATTACTAGTCCAGAACATATGCTTGTCTTCTTTATTTATTTACAATGGTAACAGCTTGGCTCATCCAGAAAACTGTATCTATTCTTTCTGGTGATGCCATCTTTGAATATTTCAAGGATTGCTTATCTCCTTGCTTTGTTGTTTTTTGAAGCTAGGAAGGAAATCCCTTCCCCAGTTTCAAATATTACTGAAACCAAAATTATGTTCCCCCCATTATCTTGCAGTATTACGTGTTATTCTTCATTGTTGCTGTTTTGATGTTGGCAAAACTACTTTTTGTCATGTGCAGTTAACTTTATTTTTATTTCAAGCTGTTCAACTGACTTCTCCTATACATGGAATACCTTTGCAGGCCATTGAGGTATCGAGCAATGAGTATGAACCTTCAGAGAAAGATGTGATCTTTGCTGAAGGTGTAACACAAGGGAATGGGTTGGCTTTCATTGAATTCGCCCTTGATGATCGCAGTCCCATGTCTGAGCCTTACATTGAGAACCCTGAAGCACATTCCCAGCCTCTTACCAAGTAATCTCTTAACTTCATGCCATGTGCAAATCGATCTCAGCCATGTGCACTTAATGTTCTTATATGTTTTGCTCCTCAGATATCAGTTGATTAGAGTAAGTGCCAAGGGCATGAATGATGGCTGCAAGTGGGTGGAAATGTTTGAGGATGTCCGCATGGTGATATTCTCTGTAGCCCTCAGTGACTATGACCAAGTGGGACCTCCTGTATATGGCAGCAGTCGGCCTCTCTTGAACAAGATGATGCAAAGCAAAGAGTTATTTGAGGCTACGATTCGGTAAGCTGCTATTTTTCATTGAAAACTAAGAACTTTTAGGGTACATTTCTCTATAGTACAGTTTGTCTTTTCTCCACTCCTGCATCTGGCAATTCTTAACCTCACAAATACTGGATGAAGTAATAATTCCAGTATCATAATCAAGTTTTTCTAGAACTAGTACAACAATTAAGTTTATTTCAACTCCATGATTTCGGATATAGTAACTGAGTCAAGAACGATGTGGCAATAATGTTGTGGGTAATGCAATAATTAAATGGGAAACTGTTCTCGAATGGATTCTGTTGAACTAGTCAGCTAGTTTTTAATTAAATATTCCCTGCTGTTTGACAATCAGGCAACCATGCTTCTGCGATACTCCTTTCGTCCTGGTACTCAACAAGTATGACCTCTTTGAGGAGAAGATCAACCGCGCACCTCTAACGACCTGCGAGTGGTTCAACGACTTCTCCCCGGTGCGGACACACCACAACAACCAGTCGCTCGCCCAGCAGGCGTACTACTACGTAGCGGTGAAGTTCAAGGACCTGTACTACGAGCACACGGGCCGGAAGCTCTTCGTGTGGCAGGCGCGTGCCCGTGACCGCCAGACGGTCGACGAGGCGTTCAAGTACGTGAGGGAGATCCTCCGGTGGGAGGATGAGAAAGAGGAGAACTTGTATGGCGGCGGGGAAGACTCGTTCTACAGCACCACGGAAATGAGCTCCTCTCCTTTCATCCGAGCAGAATGAATTCGACATTGGCTGCTGAAATCGAATTCTTTGCAACCCGGCGAAAGAGTGCCCGGTTCCTTTCGCCGAATTGGTACAGAAAACATTGGATATGGTTGTATATTGATTTTACAGGTTATCCTGATCGAAATTGTTGCTGTTCATCACCTGAAGAGAATAGGATCCGTTGGTCCTGTTGTTGCGCTAGCCTGTACTAATTTTTTTCGAAACAAATGTACAAAGAAAGAAAGAAAAAGTTGTGTGATATGTTTGTGATTTGTACCAGTAAAAAGGTAAAAAGCAAAAGTGTGGATGATAGTGGCCATATTGTTTGGTGAACTAACCTTAGCTACACTAGCTGTAAAATCATGTAGCAGTTCAGCTGTTCTGTCGGGTTGAGAAAAATAAATTGACATCCACATTCAAGACTACTAGTTGTCATCTGCAACTTCGAAAGCAGTTGTGAATTCAACCTTCAGGCCCTGTTTAGATTGGACTAAAACTTTTAAGTTCCTATCACATCGGATGTTTGAATATTAATTATAAATATTAAACGTAGACTATTAATAAAACCCATCCATAATCTTGGACTAATTCGCGAGACGAATCTATTGAGCCTAACTAATCCATGATTAGCCTATGTGATGCTACAGTAAACATTCTCTAATTATGGATTAATTAGGCTTAAAAAATTTGTCTCGTGAATTAGCTTTCATTTATGTAATTAGTTTTATGTAGTCTATATTTAATACTCTAAATTAGTGTCTAAAGACAGGGACTAAAGTTAAGTTCCTGGATCTAAACACCACCTCAGTGCAAATAGGAAAATGATGCAAGTAATAAAATAATTGTTTACAAAATTTCTTTTACTTACAGTAACGTGGCACAGTTGGATTGCATGTTGGTTTTTCTGTAACTACCAATTGATTACATTTAATGTTTCGAGATTTTTGTTGTAAGAGCTTTTATTAGATTTTTGTTTACAAAATGATTACATTAAACGACTGGGAGTGTGGGCGGCAGAGGACTGAGTTTTTTTTCCAAGAAATGTGGACCCTGGCGGTGGCGGTGGCCCTAGGGGTGACAACGGACTGGGAGTTTGGGAGGCGAAAGAGGATCCCAACGATGACGGTGGCCCTATAGGCAACAGAGGCCTAGGAATCCCACGAAACGGAAGTGGATCCCGGCGGCTCATGTCTGGTCGGCTAGTTCTGACTAGACGACGATATATGAAGGTGGGCTAACCAGCGGCGTGTGACGTCAGCTCGCCTAAAGTGGATGAAGATGGTACTAGCGGAGGTTCACAACGACGACGGATTAGGGGCAGCACGACGGTGACTAGACAACTTCCACTCTCCGAATCTAGTCGTTTCAGGAGAGAATGTCGGGTAGCAGGGATGTGCCGAGGTCGTAGGTTTTTATTTTTTTTAGTTATGTGTTCTCCTCATTATCGAGGTGTGAGTCTAAGTGCTCTTATATTTTTTTTGTTATGTATGTCCATGGATACAGAGACCGGATTAATAAAAATCCATTATCTAAAATAATTAAAGTCAACAATCAGGATGCGGAAAACCTCAATGTTCCAAACGATCCGCGGTGCACAACATAGCAACATGAAGAAACTACACATTCCAGGAGCCCAGCTTTTCCAAATGCATCCCCAAGGAGGCAAGGACCTAAAATAAGTTGCCCCTGAAAGAGAGCATCATAAGCCGACTTGGCAGTGTACTGCCCTAAACTAGAAGGCTACCAAGGAGGGCACATCTGGTATTCCTGGATGCAAGAATGTCGTGGAGAAAGCGTCCCACAAAGCAAGGAAATCGACATGGTACGTACAAGGACACCAACGGAAAGAGCGATCTGAATGTAAGAAATCCATGCATCATCAGAATATCAAATAAGGCATCAAGAATCGTGCGCTTATTAGCTCCCCTTTTCGTGAGGGTGATACTACAAGACTCCATAGTAGGTTAGTAAAGGGTATCTTCCTGCTATGTTCCTTGATTTATTTAATACATGTCAAAAAGGTGATAATTAAAAGATCCCCAGGTTGCTGTTTATGGGGGACACTATCATTCTTAGTTCCTAGCCTCAGAAAATCTCCAGCAGCGCAACATCAGGTACCAAGTATAAAACTTTGGTTTATGTTTAGCTATTGACTTTACACAATGATTTGGCAAACAACAGGTGAACATCATAGTTTGACGGAAAGTTTTATTTCCTGTATAAATTCATCAAATTGGCCATGACGCAACATTTTAGATTATCGCAGTAAAGCAAAACTATGGGCTTGATTGGTTTGATACCAATTTATTACTCTCCCAAAAAAAAATTTGGTAACTTCAATAGTACTCTCTCCATCCCAAAATATAATGCTACCATGAATTTTAAGATTTAACCTTAAAAACATTTTGACCAACATTTATTACAATATGAATTTAATTTTACTTGCTAAGAATTATATCATTGAATTGACATTTGAATTTACTTTCATATGATTATAACTTTTTTACTACAAAACTTATAATATATAAGAAATTATAAGATAAAAATTAGTTTTGGAGACCATGTCACGTTTGACCATATCTTATATTATAGGATAAAGGGAGTAGCAAGTGCATATTTTGGTTTGCTACCAAATTTTACTCACAATAGTTCAAATTGAATACTACCCAATTTGGTAGTGCCAAAATTTGCTAATGTTTTAGCGCTACCAAGATTTTGGTAGGGCAAAAATTGGCTCCAAATCAAACTAGCCCTGTAAGTTGTGCAAATACGGCCCATACGTTAAATTGGCTCCAAATCAAACTAGCCCTGTAAGTTGTGCAAATACGGCCCATACGTTCGCATATTTGTTTATGCCTGTTTTTCATTGTCTTTTCTAGAGCGGGGTGTTTTTATTTTTTATTTTTTGGAAGGAGTGGGATCTGCACACTCTTTCCTCATAAATTTGTACTTCAATTTGAAAATTTTGAGAGATTGTTGAACGTTGACAAACAGTTACAGTAGTGTTTTAACAATGTGTTCTATATTCTGCCAACCCACAGTTTTGAGGCGAATAATTTTCATATATCATGAACTGAAAAGTTGTTGGTTTTACGTGCAACAATAACTTTATCGTTGGGGCTTTACACAGCGACATCTTCAAAATGTCTCCATTACAGTTGTTTCAAATTATATTTTTTATTGCATTATGCTATCACATAGTTGCCTAATATTAATATGAATTAAAAAAATCCACATCAACTCAGACATTTCGAAAATCTGATAACCTGATTTTAGGAAAAACGTAATGGTATTCCAAGGTTGAATTTGGAGCCCATGAATATTTCACACCAAGATTTCAGACAGATTGTCAAATCTTCCATCACAATTTTTTTTTATTATACTCTTTACTTATCAGATAATGGGGAGAAAAATACAGGAACATCATTTCACCACAACAGTTGATGCATGGCCCCCCAACTTGCTTTCTTCTTGTTGTTTTTCTTTTCTTGATCAAGGAACTTGCTATCATATTTATCATCAAACATGCATCCTAGGTAGCAAAACGATCAAATGTTACATGCTTGGTCATCTTGGAAGGTTTCTGCAGTTCATGCAACAGATAACCAACCTTCGAATGAGAACAGCCTAAATTTGTGTAACACATACGATAAGGTATACCTACAAGCTTGCCTCCTCTGTAGCCCGCCTCAAAAAACAGCACAAGATATTAGCAGCAACCTGAAGAAACAAGATGTATAATGCTACATGTATAGAAAAAAAAACCAAGGGGGAAGTCAATTTATAACTTAAGTGCACATGCACTCGTTTCCTGTATGTTATCTAAATGGTTATGAACAATTCAAAAAAAATCATCTCACAACAAAATACACGCACAAAAAGAAGGTACAAACAATGTCGATGAAAAGTTATAATGTCAGCCAAGTATCTTGAGGTTCCTTGAAAGCATCTTGAAATGGATGAATGAGTTACCTCGTTCAAACAGCTTGCCACATGTTTATATTCACTTAACTGACCATTACTATATATTTAGTTTGATCGATTCTTTTCATGTTTCCAAAAAGATTAGAGATGAACAATGGAAACTATTAAGACCACATTGGATTAGAGAAATAATGTAAAAGAGAGTTTAAGCAATTAACAGTTCAACAGAAGAAAAGTAGATAATGGAACAAATATAATACTGGAAGTGTTATTTCCACATTGCCACCAAGAATGGGTTTTTCAAATATAATATTGGAAGTGTTATTTCCACATTGCCACCAACAGAAGGGGCCATCAACTAATAACTGAATTTTCAAATTGGGTCTTTGGAGGAAAATAAACACGAAAATAATCCCCCACCTGTAGTAATTAGGACAAAATTGTAACAGAAGGAATATTTTGAGGAATGATATTACAAGACTCAACAGGTTAAAGGATTCCCACGTTGTTGTTGATAGCAAGTTAGCAACATTAGTCATTCTTAGCTCCTAGCCTTTCAAAATCTGTACAGCACTACATCAGTTTGTCATCAAGCATAAATATTTAATTTATGTTTAGCTACCAGCTTTATATGATGATTCGGTAAATACCAGCTCTACATGATAGTCTGATGGAATGTCCCATCCCTATATAAATTACCCATGCCAAAAGCCCACAACCGTGCAGATAATCACAATAAGGAAAGCCAATATCTGATTAAAAACAGGGCACATCCTTAGGAAGCAGAAAATGCTAGAAGAGTTACATATATTAATGATACTGCTCAATCGCTGCTTCTCAAGTAAAAGAAAGCAACATAACATGAGATACAGATATCCAAGATTGAAACATAAAGAGAAGATCACATTATGAGTACTCCGGATGACCATTAGTTCTACGGATAAAAGCCAATATTTAATTTGCCATGAATAAACATTTAGTGATGAGCATAACAACATAAGGCACAATGCTAGCAATTAGCATCAGATAAAGGACGAACCTGGGAAAATCTACATTCAACGGTGAACATGAGCAGGCATTTTCCCGGCACAAGCAGCAGCGTAGGAATCTGCGAGCGTGGGAGCTGCTTGCTTGTAAGGATCAATGTATCTTGCAACGAATTTTTTCTCAGAGTAAACAAGTGAACTGCTGAAGTCAACAGCATCCTTCATCAATCCCATGGTCCTCAGGATCTTCATGACAGAATGCCGTGGCACCATACGCTTCTCGAGGCTGTAGCCGAGCACCCAAGGCCTTTCCACAATGAACTCACGCTCCAAGCCAACCTCGGAGATCAGGAAGTCTATCTTTCGGCAAAGGTTCTTGTCGGACAGGTAGAAAATATGTGGCGAAATGCAGACCGCGGCACGGAGCTTGTCCTCGGAGCAACCAAGAGTGCTCCTCAAGAACTCCATTTTCATGGCGAGCATATCTTCGGAGATCCAACAGGCGGACTTGAGCACGTGCTTGAACCGATCCGAGGAGCGGGGCACGACCAACTTCTCGACGCACAGCACCGACGCCTTGACTCGCTCTGGACTCAACGACAGCACCGTCCACTTGAGCGTAGACAGCTTGGCAATTTCACAAACACTTAGCCCGCACTCCTGGAGCAGCGCGATGTTCGGCTTCACGACCTTGTCCAGGTCACTCATGAGGATTCCGTTGTTCCCCTTCAGTGCCGGTAGGAGCTTGTCGAACGATCCGACGAAGCCGATCCAGAACTCGAGCCTCGGGGCGATGTCGCATTTGCGGAGGCCCATTGCGCCGCCGGCGAGGAGGAAACGGGCGACGTCGGCATCGGACAGACCGACGCGGTCGCGGAGCGAATGCAGCCGGCGGGCGACGTTGCGCGCCCTGGCGCAGAGCAGCATCGGGTCGGCGGCGACCACGGCGGCGAGGTCGGCGCGGGAGAGGCCGACGCCGGAGAGGACGGCGAGCACGGCGTCGGGCTTGGCGGGCGACCTGAGGTGGGAGAGCTTCTTGGACGCTTTGAGCGCCTGGGCGCCCGTGAGGCCGCAGGTGGCGACGAGGTACTCCTCGACGGAGAAGGGGGGCGCGGTGTCGGGCCCGGCGGCGGTGGAGAAGAGGCGGCGGCTGAGGTGGAGAGAGGAGGAGGATGCGGCGGAGGTGTGGGGATGGGCGGCGGCGGCGGCGCGGAGCAGCGGGAGGAGGCACTGCCGGAGGTGGAGCATGGCGTCGCCGGCCGCCGGCCGCCGGGGAAAGGCGGCTGCTTAAAAAAGAGGGGAGAGAGAGAGAGAGAGAGAGAGCCGCTAGGAGCAGTCAAACCGATCTTTCGCTAGCCCTGTTTAAATACCACCCCAAAGTTTTTCGGCCTGTCGCATCCAACTTTTAATACGTATATAAAGTATTAAATATAAGCTAAAAATAATTAATGGTACAAATTGTGACTAATTTGCGAGATAAATCTTTTAGGGTGAATAGCTAATATGGTCCCTGAAGTTTCTCTTTGGGCTCAGTTTAGTCCTTGAAGTTTCAAATCGTCCAAACAAGTCCTCCAAATTAATCATTTGGGTTAATATAGTCCTTAGACCCACAAAAAGTGTCACGTGAGCATGCCAAGTCATCCTCACATGCAACGGTATGAATGAAATGACCATTCTACCCTTATATACCACATAGAAAAGAAAGAAAAAAAATTCTACCCTTGTATACCACATAGAAAAGAAAGAAAAAAAAAGAAGACAAATGATTTCACACGTGTATGATCATTTTAGAATTGTCACTTACGATTGCCGCTGGCCTGTTATTTTTTTCTGTTTGTGATTTTTTTCTTTTCTATATGGTATATAAGGGTAGAATGATCATTTCATTCATACCGCTACATGTGAGGATGACTTGGCATGCTCACGTGGTACTTTTTTGTGGGTCCAAGGACTATATTAACCCAAATGATTAATTTGGAGGACTTGTTTGGATGATTTGAAACCTCAAGGACTAAACTGAGCCCGAAGCAAAACTTCAGGGACCACATTGGCTATTCACCCAATCTTTTAAGGCTAATTGCTCCATGATTTGACTGGTGCTATAATAAACATTTACTAATGACGGATTAATAAATTCGTCTCGCGGTTTACCGACGGATTCTGTAATTAGGTTTTTTATTAGTGCCCTAACACCCTATACGACAACCTTTATAATACCCGATGTGACACGCTAAAACTTTACACCCCTGGATCTAACCACCCCCTACCCCTAAATATGGGAGACCGGTCATTTCTCTTGGACCTGTAATTTTGTTTTTTTAAATGTTTTTCAGCATACTTCAAGGAAAAAATACCCCCGCATTACCCCTAAAATGTTGGTACATTTGAATTATACCCACTGTACAAGTAGACATTTCACATTCTAACCTTCTCAAACCGGACAAAATATGCGCTGACTCAATCGAAGAGGTTTCAGTCATACTTAACGCTAATGTGACAATCCAATCAGTAATGGAGTTTTAAAAATCATAGGGCCCACCTATTAGCCTCATCACCCCACTCTGTATTGGCGCAAGGGTGTTGTGGGCGCAGTGGGCGGTGGCGAGGAAGGGGCTTCTCAGGAGGGCGTTGAAGGCGAAGCTTGAGCTTTCATAAAGGGTGATGTAGGCGGCTACTCGGAACGGCAGCTCGATCTTGCTCGGGGAGGTCCATGGAGGCAACAACTCGCCAATATCGCTTGCCATGCTTGAGCTCACTTGGGGAGGTCAATGGAGACATTGGTCGGAAGTGATGGTCAATGCTCTTCCGCTCTAGATCTGCACCTAGGTTCGTCTCCCCTCGCCCGCCATTGTCAACTAGTACTCTCGTCTCTAGCTCCACATCCTTGAGTTCTCACAGTTGGACCACCTCGAGGAGAAGGGGAGCTAACAAGCCCCTATAACCGGCCACCACACATGAACCCAAGTTCCCCTTCCTAGGCTCCTCGGCAGTAGCGTGTCACCTCCTCAATCTCCAACCACTGCCCACCACACCAAGGAGTGATCAAGTACCACCTCCCTAAGGAGTGCTCGAGCTCACCCCCAGCCAACACCTCCAAAGGCCTCCTCGCCGCTACCCTTTGGGGACCTCCCCAAGCAAGCTCGAGCTCCAATGGGCAGGATCGATGAGGCGCCGCTCCAAATTCATCGCAAGACACAACAGAGAGAAAGAGATGGGTGAGAGATATGACGAGTGGGTCCTATAGATTTTTTGATTGGTTTGCCACGTTGGTGTCATGTGTGCTAGCTCTAGCTAAAACCGCCTAAAAGTACCAGGGGGTTATTTATCCGGTTTGAAAAGTTAGAGGTGTCAAGTATCCGTTTTTTAGATTAAGCAGTAACTTGTACTGCTGCAATAGTTCAGAGGGTAATTCGAACGTTTTCCTTCTTTAAAAGTCACAAAGTTGTTTGGCTTTGTATCGCAAACATCATTACAATTTCACTCTTTTACCACAGCACGGAGTGAAATATCAAAATTGCCCCCTAGTCTTCCTCGTCCTCCTCATTTCTCCTCTCCTATCTCCAAATGTATGCATGTTCCGTATGGATCCTACCATTTGTAATCTTATATGCACTTCGAGAAAATATAATGTCTGAAATTTATTCACCTTGCTTTTTTTGCAAAGTTACAACAAGAAAGCAGTCCAAGAGCTCATACATTCTATCACTGTTGCAACTCAGAAAACTCCAAAAGAGTGTCTGCTAGATGTAAAGCCGACCTACAAGTGTAATTGTCAAGCATGTAACTCAGGAGGTTCCAAATTTCAAACATAGCAAATCCTAACCAAAATAGTCAAATATAATTGACAGGTTAATGTATGTTACATAGGCGTGAAACCATGAAACTAGGTGGTGGCTGATCCCAGAGCAGAGCAACCTCTTGAATGTTCCTTCAACATAATGAACTTCAAAATGGTAATTCGATGTTCTTAAGGCCAATCTCTTGAAATGTAAACAAGAGTTTGGTCAAGTAGGATATGAAAAAGGAAAGCTAATAGCCTAATACAACTTGAACACTGTCAGCTCAAGTGCTAAAGCAATAAGACATGATATGTGCAGGGAACAGATCAAGACAGCTCATCTGCTTTGCACATATCGATGGTTGAAGCATGGATCACCATATCAGAACTTAGATCACCTACAGTTCTACCATGGAAGTCGACTGACACAGAAGTGAGAATCCACCATGAATTGATATCTAAGTAAGCATCAGATGCTAAGGCCCGATACTAACCTTACCCCTGCAATATATATCTCGCCTCCCGTGTCTCTTTTTAACAGTGGAATCCGGCACTACAGGCATTTTCCCAAAACAAGATGCATTGTAAGCATCTGCAAGCCCATGAACCATGTCCTTATGAGTATCAATGTATCTCGCAACGAAATCGGCCTCACCTTGCATGATTAAACCATATAAGGAAGCACCTTTCTTCATCAACCCCCTCGCCCGCAGTATCTCCATGACAGAATGCCGTGGCACCATACGCTTCTCAAGGCTGTACCTGAGAATCCCAAGGCACTCCACAATGCACTCTAGCTTTAAGCCAACCTCAGTCACCAAGAACTCTATCTTGCGGCGAAGATTATCCATTGATAGGCCAAGAATAGTTGGCCTCTTGCCAACCGCGATAAGGATATTGTCCATGGAGCAACCAAGAGTCCTGCTCAAGAACTCCATCCTCGCAGTGACGCTGCCTTCATTGGTAGAGCACACGGCCATCCTGAATGCCGGCGAGCAACGGGGCACGCCAAGCATATCGGCACGATGCACATAGCGCTTGATTCGCTCTGGATTGAACGAGAGCAGCCTCGGGTTGGTCTTGACAATATCACAAACAGTTAGCCCGCACTCCTGGAGCTGCGCGAAGTTGGGCTTGATGACCTCCTCTATGTCGGAGGTGAGGATGCGGTAGCTTCGCTTGACGGTCTTGAGAAGCACCTCGTAGGAGCCCAACAAAGGGATCAAGAACTCGAGCCTCGATGCGATGTCGCAGTTGCGGAGTCCATAAGCGGAGGGTGCGGAGGTGGAGAGAGGGTAGTGTGTGGCTGGCAGGGTTAGAGGCCACGGCGGCGATGGCGGAGCGGAGGAGCGGGAGGAGTTCTCGAAAGTGAAGCATGGCGAAGGCGGTGGAAGGCGGCTGGCGGTGAGCAGAGCCGCCGGCGGCGTGATTTGTTTGTGTTTGGGGAAGTTTATGGATTATGGGTAGTGCTCCTTTTTTTTAACCCTATTATGTTTATACTAGCTAGGATAATTGACAAGCACATATTTTACCCTTCATTTAGGGGCTCTTGAAAATTTCAAGCTTCATGACATTCCGAAATTTGCAATCCAATTCACTAACTTTTTAAAAATTATCACCAAAGATATAAATTCACACCGTGTAGGCGGACATTGTCGGCCGCGCACGTGGCCGCCTGCTAAGAGGACGTCAATGAGATTGTCCCACTTTGTTGCCTCGCGCTAGATGCAAGCCCATCGCGAGGCAGCCTCAACTCTCAACCCCTGCCTTGGCAAGGTGTGCACAATGAGAGATAGCCTCATTGGTGGTAGCAGGCAATGAGGCAACGTGGTGGCCGGGCGGGTCTCTTCCACGGCACGACGTTGTCGTTTGCATCCCAGTGAAAGTGCAAGCACAGCTAACAGATCAGACCGTCGGTGGCAAGGAAATGTGTGGCAATGATACAAGTGTGTGACTGCAACGAGGCACAGTGGCGTGTAGTGGGGCTGCCACCGGGAGGAAAGCGAGGAAGAGGCAAAGCTGAGACTAAGATAGGTGGCGAGTTGAATTTAGGAGCCATTGACGGCGGCTTGAGCTAGTACGGTATGGACAACCCCAACATGAGCTCCTTCTTGCATATGTTTGTTGGTGATGATAGCAATGATGTAGGAGATGAGATGGACGTCCTCGATGGTGAAGAGCAGTGCCTCACAGTTGTGAGTACGGTGATCAAGTTGGTGATTGGGGCAGAGGGCTACAGTCACTTGGGACGGCCTGACACACAATGGCATCTGAGGGATGAGCTGTTAGATGGAGACGGCAGGGACACAGAACGAAAGAATTCGCATCCCAACACTACAGGAATCGTGACTTTCGCGGTGTTAACTGTAGGACACCGTACGAAGTGACTTTTAGGGGAAATCACTCTATAAATGTGGAAATTAGCTCATGGACAACTTGCCCATTAGAATATTCATTTGTGGTTGAATAGGAGAGAGAAATCACGTGAAAGTTCTAAAATACCCCCCAGGTCCACATGTCAGGTCTTTCATCTCTATCTTTGTCTCTCTCAAGCACATGGGCTAGCTTCCAGTATTTTTTCCCCTTCTACTTCCTCTTTCTCTCACTCCTACAGGAGGCTGGGGCGAGGTGCGGTGAGCTCGATGGTGGTCAACCATGGGTGGCGGCGTTAGGGGAAGGAGATGTAGATGCCAGCCATTCCAAACACAATGGGATGTGTGGACATGCTGTCGTTAGGGCGGCCGAGGAGATTAGTGGCCATGCCGGAGGAGCATGGTAAAATGACACGGTTTTCAAGGAGCTTGTCAGTGTCGACGATTGATTAAGGGCACCATGATACGTTGTTGCGGCGATGCCACTCCCTCTATCGCGGCCTCCATGAGTCATTGCTCCTCCGCGATGACGCAACCCTCAGCACTGCACGCCGCTCCCTCCATCCTAGCCTTCATGGTGGCGTGACTCAGCCACAGGTTGCCACTCCCTCCACGCCGCTGTTGACAACCAAATTTGGTAAGTATTCGTATCAGGAAAAGGGAATTAATCAGAGAAGAGTTGGAGGCGGAGATCGAGTTCTGGAACAGAGCAAGAATTGGCTAGAGTCTGGATCGGCTACGGCTAGGATCGGCTAAGGTTGAGCTAGGCTGAGTAAGTTGGTATAGCCGATTCTAGTAATGCGACTTGTGCGCGACATCGGGCTCGGGTTGATGTGCTTCAAGATGATTGCCATGTATGGATAGAGTTCTGAGAAGGCAATTGTATCTATTAATTAGATTATTTATGTAAATTCCTTATAGATAAGTGTGGGCAAGAGTCTGCCGCAAAGACTCGTGATATTTTAGAAGTTTGTTAGAGATAATGGTCATGGCCGGTATGGGCATATCTTGTAATCTTCGGGTATAAATAGACCCCGAACCCTATGTAATTAAAGACACACATTCAATACAATTCCGGCGCATCGCCACCTTTTACTTTTATTCTATTTCAACGAGTTCTTGCTTTCGGGTTGAGCTGCATCGGTGTCGATCTTCAACAAGAGGTAAACTCGTTATGACGAATTATGTTCTCATAGATTAGTGCTTACATCTTCATGACACTCTAATCTCGTTTATATAATTCGCCAAGTTATCATATATCTTACATAATCCTTAGCAATATCTCTATTTAATCTACTATCGGCTAACATTTGCATACAAAAGGCAGTCGATCAGGTTAGATCTTGCTGTTGATTTGGATTATATAAGATATCTACCACTCTATGAAACTTCCGGTGGCTTGATTGTCTAGATATTGTTCTTCTTTTCATACTTAATGCTGCATCAGTTGAATTTGATCTATTAAGTCGTGTTTAGAATATCAATCTCTAGCCTGCTTTCTGGTTGCCGATTAGGGTAGCATCGGAGTTTCAGCCGATCTTATCTGATTTAACTATGTTTGCTCCATATACTTTATTGATATGTTAAATCTGCCCTTCATGTCAAGATATTATTGCACTCACGTATATTAAGCTTCTGTTTGGTATATTCCGTTTGTTTTAATATCTTAGCATAGAGTTGCATCGGAGTATTAGCTGATGCATGCTGGATCTATCTGATCGGTTATGCTGTAAACATATATAATTCTGTTATTAACATATATTTCAGCTTAAGTGATTTATACCGTCTCGGCATGGCGACCGATCTATCCCAATCACTTAATTTAAAGTATATGTCGACATAAGAATTATACATCGTTAACATCTACAGCCGATCGAATAGATTTAGTCCTTTTTTATTTATTTCCAAACGCCGATCGATCTATACATGACATCGGCTCAAACGTAAATGATATGTCATCGGCATCTGGCCGATCGGCTATCATTTATAGATTTAACCACGGTTCTTTTGTTTTTATTTCTTGTTGATTACAGGATCAAATCAACTGGCACACTTATACATCCGAAGGCGAGTTTTGGACCTGCACTGGAGTTAAGCAGATCTCCCAGGCCTCGTGTTTTCTGTCAACAGCCGCACGATGCATCCTTCATCCTGGCCTCACGGCATCGTTCCTCCGTGATGGTGTGGCCCTCCACGCGCCGCAACTAGAAAAGTGATGATTCGGAGGTGGATGCAAAGAGATGGAGAGGATAACACTTGAACGATCAGCCTCCACATCTTCTTACCCTATTGCCACCATCAAGCCTTGCCTCGCCCCGTCCTCTTGCGAGATTGAGAGTAGCAAGAGGAGCATGTGAGGTAGAAGGGGAAAAAAAAACTAAAGGCTTACATACAGTGCCATATATGCTTGAGCGAGATACATAGATGAAAGACCGAAAGACTGAAAGACCATATACGTGAGCTCAAAGGTATTTCTTTATACGAGTTCTCTCTCATACCCGGCTAGAAATAAATATTTTAATGGGTGCAGTTTCCATGAGCTAATTTCCATGTTTATCGAGTCGATTCTCTCAAATTCACTTTGTGCAGTGTTTTAGAGTTAAAATCACGAAGTCACGATGCTCGGTAGTAAAATTTTCCGTTAAGAAAAGCGTATGAATCGTGTGATAAATCTATTTTTTTTATACTACTAAACATATGATACAGTTCTGCAACTCATAAACTATATAACTAGAGACATATGTAACTATAACAACCGTCGATCCGTATACGAGATCATGAGTCGGGCCGTTGGATCGCGCACTTTTTTTAAAAAAAAAGAAAAGAAAAGAAAGAAAGAGTCCATCTTGTACCCCGCCGGGCAAAACCCCCGCCGCCGACCTCGACGGCGGCGTTCCGCCGCGGCGCCATGCTCCACCTCCGGAGACGCCTCCTCCCGCTGCTCCGCGTCCCCTCCTCCCCCCATGCCTCCGCCTCCTACTACGCCCATCTGCGCCGCCTCCGCCTTCCTCTCTCCACCGCCGCCGCCGCCACCGCGACCCCCTTCTCCGCCGAGGACTACCTCGTCGCCACCTGCGGCCTCACCGGCGACCAGGCGCTCAAGGCGTCCAAGAAGATCTCCCACCTCAGGTCCGCCGCCAACCCGGACGCCGTGCTCGCCGTCCTCTCCGGCGTCGGCCTCTCCCGCGCCGACCTCGCCGCCGTCGTCGCCTCCGACCCGCACCTCCTCTGCGCCAGGCCCGACAACGTCTCCCGCCGCGTCACGTCTCTGCGCGACCGCGTGGGCTTGTCGGACCCTCAAATCGGCAGGTTCCTCCTCGCCGGCGGCGCGATGGCCGTCCGCAAATGCGATGTCGCCGAGCGGCTGGAGTTCTGGATCCCCTTCTTGGGGGGATCCTTCGAGACGCTTCTCAAGATGTTGAGGAGGAACAACGCAATTGTCAGAGCTGATGTTGAGAAGGTGATCAAGCCCAACATCGCGCTGTTCCAGGAGAGCGGGCTAACTGTTCGAGATATTGTCAAGATGCCCGGATGGCTGTTCACGTTCAATCCAAAGCGGGTGGAAGCGGCTGTGGAGCGTACTGGCAAGCTTGGTGTCGAGCTCGCCTCCAGTAGATTAAAGTACATGCTGTCTATTGCTGGCAACATCACCGAAGGCAATGCATCTGCGAGGATGAAGTACTTGAGTAGCACTCTTAATTGCTCCATGGACAAGGTCGAGTATATGGTCGGCAAAATGCCAACTATTATAACACTTTCTGAGGAAAAGCTTCGCAGTAAGATTGAGTTCTTGAGTAGCACCCTTAATTGCTGCGTGGACAAGATCGGTCATATGGTTTGCAAAGAGCCATTTATTCTAGCAATTTCTGAGGAGAAACTTCGCATCAATACAAAGTTCTTGAGTAGCGCTCTTGGATGCTCCATTGACAATATCTGTGTTATGGTCTACAAAATGCCAAGTATTCTAGGACTTTCTGTGAACAATCTTTGCAGAAAGATAGAGTTTTTGGTCACCAAAGTCGGGTTGGAGCCTGATTACATTTTGAGTAAGCCTGTTTTGTTCGCGTGCAGCCTGGAGAAGCGGTTGATGCCGAGGCATTATATTGTAGAAGTCCTTTTGGCTAAGGGATTGATAAAAAATGCTGGCTTTTTAACATATGCCATACTGCGGGAGAAGGATTTCGTAGCAAGGTACATTGATCAACACAAGAATGCTGTTCCTGGGCTCGCTGATGCCTATGCCACAATTTGTTCTGGGAAAGTGCCTCCTGAGCTGCAACCTTGACATCCTCAGACTGAGATGTTGGAGTTCATTTCGGCAAGGTGCCTGCTGAAGTCCAACTATATCATTTTTGGATGGATATATTGGAGGTTAATTATCTTTCAGGCCTATATCTGACCTAACACTTCATGCTCTGAGGATCAGTACTTGATGTTCATTCATGGTCCTGTATTTTTCCATACCCATTGATTTCTGCTGTAGTTTAAGTTATTGCTATTTATGCAGCAACTGGATTGTTTTAATCTTGCTGCCCTAGTGCCCTTATAGCTTTACTGTCTCATGTGATGGCTCGTTGCTTCAACAGCTGTTTTCCTGTTCAGTTATTTTGAGAAAAATGGGTTTTTGCCGTGTTAACTGGACCCTTTTTCCCTCTGCTTTTTCTAATTTTTATTTTCTTTCAACCTTAAGTTGATGCTTACGTTGATAGTTGGGTATATTAGAAAGTAGGAAGTATCCCCCATGGCAGCACACTGCATGGCATGATAGCACACCAGTGTTGTCCAACACATGGATCTTTAGTAATTAAAAATAGGAAGGATCATGTAAGAGAAACAAATTAAATATATGATAAGGTTGATTTTTCAAATGTCGTTTTATTTCCTATTCTATTTTCGATCAGTTCATCACCGAAAACAGTTAGTATATATGTCAGATAATCTGTAATTATGATGTCATTTAGCATTTAATCCTTTCAGTTAGCTACTTAAAAGTGACAGTTTGTTAACCTTGGTGCTTCCAAAGATACCTTAGCACTAGGATGCAGGAAAAGAACACACTGGTTGCTTACCACAGTTGCACCTAAAAAATTGTATGTTCTTGAATTGAAACCAAAGTTACCAAACAGAGGGAAATTTAGCTTTGTTTGTCACGCACAAGGAGTGTTACTGCTCACCATTTAGCAATTGTACCTCTATGCAATTCTTTCAATGGCTCTGTTGGCCTGGTTGGTGTGTAAGTTGTCACCGTACCCTTCTGCTTCCATTTTTTTGTTATTTCAGACACATCACTGTAATTGGTCTCATCCAGGCCGGTTTTGCCATCATCAAAGGATATATTCTGCTAATTGAAGTATATTTTAAGCATTTTTGTGAGCAGCATAATCCTAACTTAACAGCTCTCACTGCGAAGTGCTAAAAACCCACAGCCCCATAAGTCTACAAACAAGAAAACACAGGACCGTTTATTTTGAAACATTGGTAAGTTCAGAATATTGTCGTGTGAAAATTCAGTTGCCTACAAGGTACAGTATCAGGTACTGTACCCTCTCTAAGCAATATGTGTACATCATGAAAAAGAAAATACTCCCTCCGTCCCATAATATAAAGGATTTTGGATGGATGTGAGTATGTGACACATCCTAATACAATGAATCTGGATAGACCGTCTGTCCATATTCATTGTATTAGGATGTGTCATATCCACCCAAAATCCCTTATATTATGGGACGGAGGGAGTATATATTAGGGTTCGAATGAAACAAGTGGGACTAGCGTGAAATCAGTTTGGAGTAGAGAGTGAGGTTCATTTGAATATATATGCATGATGTACAAGTGGAACTGAACTGCATCCATACAACTCATAATATCGATTCTAAGCTATTGTACTTCTGATAAACTGGGCTGATAGATGAATTGTATAGGCAAAGTCGGCCTTGGCTTCAACTGGCACCACCATCTGCCCTAGCCATTGGTGGGATTTCCAGTGGGTACTTGCAGTGTGAGGTATGGACAGGGATGGCAATGGGGCAATGTGGAAGTAGCTTTTGTGTTGTTGGTTGCTTCTAAAGCATGTGGTTTATGAGGTAAAGTCTAAATTTGGGGCGCCTTTTGTTCTTAATAATATTTGATTGGGGAAAAAAATACTGTCAAATCTTTTTACAGAGTTTTATCCTTTTGTGGGTGATTCATGTGTGAATGGGTGAATCTTTGGGCTGCTACCATTCTCTTATTGACAAGATCCAATGTGCTGTTCAAGTTCAACTGATTAAACGTAGCTGATTTTGGTTGTGGGTGGTTCGATTTTTTCCTTTTTTTGTCAACATTATGGTGTTCATGAAAATGCTGAACGTGCTCTGCTTAGATGCATGCCCTGTGTGGCTGCATCTGGTGTGTTTTTAGGGAGATGCTCTTCATTGGGTTGCCAATTTGCCATTGCCACGCATTTGGAGGTTTATTTTAATTAGATTATTGATATTGCATTATTGCTGGAAGCAAGAAAAGCCCCCGTTTCATTCTTCTTGCTGCGATTTGTTGAAACCTATGGCTCACCAAGTCACCAGGAATGATATATGGTTTTCAGACATAGTGCTATTGACTTCTCAACTTGTGCAGGCATTGGATTAGATGATAGTTGCAGTTTCTTTGCTTAGATTTCTTAGATGCAACTCATGCAAGTTCAGTCATGTCCAATATGTTGGTTTGTTTGTAGAGTGTAGACTTTTTGTTAGCCTAAATCATGGTAAACAAAATTTTCACATTATGTAATTGGCTGGTTGAACAACTTTAACCAACTGAAAAATATGCAAAAGTTTGGGTCACTCGTTGTCCTGATTTTTTTTCTTGCTAAGATTTATGCTATGCCTATGGCCAACATGTAAACTCCGCGAGCCGTCGTTTTTTCATGTCCCTTTTGTGCCTCAACTATGATCTGAATCCTCACTACTTTTACCCTAAGACACACTTGCCACTACTTGTGATCCTTGTCTAGCTACCGCTTCCATCTCTTTGGATGTGAGGTTGAGTATGCTATTGTGGAGCTCCAACATGCATCGTCCTTGTTTCTACATCTTCTCCTGAAGAACTAAGGGCCCATTTGAATCATAGGAATGAAAAAACAGAGGAATATGAAAAACATAGGATTCTGACAGGAATGCAAGTATAAAACAGAAGATTGCAAAACACAGGAAAAACATAGGAATGATTGTTTGATTTAGCCACAGGAAAAACACAGTAATTTGAGGAAAGATAAAGACTCAAAGGATTCTTTCCATGAGGTTCTACATCATGTTAAATTTTCTCCAAAACTTTTATGGGAAGAGTCATTCCATAGGAATTTCATAGGATCCATTCCTTTGATTCAAAGGACTATATAGGAAAAATTCCTATAGTAATGAAATCCTCTAAAATTCCTATGAATTTCCTTTGAATGAAAGGGGCCCTAAATAATCAAACTACAACGTCTTCTTTTGCTCCTATTTGCATCTCCCTATGCTCCTATTCGCATCTTCTCTGTTCTATCATTTTAACTAACCTCTTCAATCTTGCAATACGGTTCAACTTTCGTCTTTTGAGATCCCTAGTGTGGCAATAGCAATTTACTCCTAGTGCTTTTATATTTTTTTTTAAAAAAAAACATAGTGGATTTTAGAAACCATGTCTTCTGACCTTTCCTGAAAAAAATATATTTTGGCATAGGGGAAACAAAAATAGGAGCAGTTTCCTAATCTTCATACTGAAAAAAGAGGTGGGGCGGTCCTTAAACTTGTAGGGGGTGTGTCATCTAGATCCCTAAACTCTCAAAATGATTTATCATAGTGTGTCATCTAGTTCACAAATCTCCACAACCCCTTCAGGATCCTACGTGGCGTTAACATGACATACTACCCGAACATGACGTGGCATTATTTTAACTAACAAATGGGACCTATTTAAATTTTTTTCTTTTTCTTTTTTTTCTTCTCTTTTTTCCCTTTCTTTTTCTTTCACTGTAACCCGTGCAGAAGAAAGGGAAAAAAAAGAAGAAAAAGAAGAAAACGAAAAAAAGAAGAAAAAAGAAAAGAAAATAACACGTCATGTCCATGTAGCATATGCCACATTAGCGCCACGTAGGATCCTAGAGGGGATGTGTCGATTTGGGACCTAAATGATACACTTTGACAAGTTCTAGGACCTGGATATATATTTTGAGAGTTTAGGGACCTACATGACACAAGCTTACAAGTTTAAGGATCACCAATGCACTTTACTCTTGAAAAAACAAATACAAATATATTTGATGGAAGGGGGGTAAAAAGCAAAGGGCTTGCTTAGATTGTAGCCAAAATAAACCTTACCAAGTTTTGGTAATACCGAAATTTTGACAGATAGAAATATTTAGTGACATTTTTTTTAACTTGGAAAAAAAATTGGTATGGTTGAAAATTGCATCGAAGTGAACATGCCCAAAATTGCACACTCCACACTGCCGAGCAAAATCGCTAAACCCAGCCTCGCCGTCGCCGGCGACATGCTCCGCCTCTCATGCTGCCGGCCGACGGCCGGCGGCGGCCTCGCCGGCGCCATGCTCCACCTCCTCCCGCTGCTCCGCGCCCGCGCCGCCACCCATCTCCCCACCTCCTCTCTGGACCTCAGCCGCCGCCGCCGCCTCCTCCTCTCCACCGCCGCCAGATCCGCCGCCGCGACCCCCTTCTCTGTCGAGGAGTACCTCGTCGACACCTGCGGCCTCACCGGCGCCCAGGCGCTCAAAGCATCCAAGAAGCTCTCCCACCTCAGGTCGCCCGCCAAGCCCGACGCCGTGCTCGCCGTCCTCTCCGGCGTCGGCCTCTCCCGCGCCGACCTCGCCGCCGTCGTCGCCTCCGACCCGCAGCTGCTCTGCGCCAGGGCCGACAACATCGCCCGCCGCATCGCCTCCCTGCGCGACCGCGTGGGCTTGTCGGACCCCCAGATCGGCAGCTTCCTCCTCGCGGGCGGCGCCAAGGGCATCCACGCGTGTGACGTCGCCTCGAGGCTGGAGTTCTGGATCCCCTTCTTGGGATCCTTCGAGACGCTCCTCAGGATCTTGAAGGGGAACAACGTGCTGGTGCTCTCTGACCTTGAGAAGGTGATCAAGCCCAACATCGCGCTGCTCCAGGAGTGCGGGCTAACTGTTTGTGATATTGCCAAGATGGCCAGGTTTGCTCCACGGATGTTCACGTCCAATCCAAAGCAGGTGGAAGGGTTTGTGCGGCGTGCCGATGAGCTTGGCGTGCCACGCACCTCAGGCCAATTCAAGTACATGGTGGGTATTTTTGCTAACATCAGCGAAGGCAGTGCCACCGCGAGGATGGAGTACTTGAGTCGCAGTCTTGGTTGCTCCATGGACAAGCTCCGCTCTGCGGTCCAAAAGTTACCACAAATTCTAGGATTATCTGAGACAAATCTTGGCAGCAAGATAGAGTTCTTGGTCGGCAAGGTCAGATTGGAGCCTGAATACCTTTTGAAGACGCCAAAGCTGTTCACGTACAGCTTGGAGAAGCGGTTGGTGGCGAGGCATTATATTGTGCAAGTCCTTGCTGCGAAGGGATTGAAGGGATTGAAAAAAGATGTTCCCTTTTGCTCATATGTACAGCTAGGCGAAAGTTGTTTTGTAAAAAACTTCATTGATCAGCACGAGAACGTTGTCCCTGGTCTTTCTGATGCCTATGCTGCACTTCGTGCTGGGAAAGTGCCTCCAGAGGTCCAACACTGACATCTTCGGACAGAGTTATTGGAATTCATTCTGGCAGAATGCCTTCTGGAGTCCAACTATAACATCTTTGGAGGTTAATTATCTTTCAAGCCCATACCTCATGTTGTGAGGATCACTAATTGGTGTGATGGTTTTCATGCATGGTCATGCCTTTTTCATATTTTGATTTCAGTTGTAATATGAGTTGTTGCTAACTTGCTATTTATGCAGCAACTTGATAGTTTAAATCTTGATGCTCTAGTGCCCTTACAGCCTTACTGCTGATGCAATGACTTGTTTCTTGAACCACTATTCTCCTGTTCAGGTACTTTGAGCAAAAAGGGTTTTGGCAGTACTACCTGCATCATTTTTCCCTTTGGTATTATCTAATTTTGATTTTATTTCAACCTTCAATTGTTATTTCAATAGCTTGTTGGGTATATTAAAAAAATATCCCCATGGCACCACACTGCTTAGCATGCTAGCAGATCAATGTTTTCCATGCCCAGTTCAATCATTCTTCTCTGGTGAAATACGGGGCATGGATCTCTAGTAATTATAAACAAGACATATCATGTAAGAGAGATAAACTAAATATGATCAGGTTGATTTTTTCAAATGCCATTTGATAGGCTCATCGCTGAAAATCAGTTATGTATGTCACATAATCTGTAATTATACTTTCACTGCGCATTAAGAATTCAGTTATCTACTTGGATGACAGTATGTTAATTTTGGTGTTTCTAAAGCTAAATAATACTAGAATGAAGTAAAAGAACACATTGGATGGCTAACACAATTACACCTAAGCAATTGGAAGTACAAATGAACGAATTGATCAGGAAGAGGTGTTGAAATTGGAACGTGCTGGCATTGGCTTTGTGGAGATGCGCTAGAGAAACTAGTCGAAATTCGAAAAGCATGGTCTTATCGTTGATTTGATACATCAAGTTGATTGTATGAAGAGTGCCACTCATAGACAGGCATATGGATCAAGTGATTGTTTGTTTGGCACCATTATCCAGGCACTGGAAATGGCACTGTTCATCATTTAGCAAATGTGCCTCGATGCAACTCTTTCTCTGGTTCTGTTGTCCAGGTCAGTTTGTATCCTTTCTGCTCTATTTCTCATTTATTTCAAGACCACATCACCATGATCATGATTGTGCTAATGATTTTGTAAGCACTTCTGCAAACAGCATAATCCTTACTTACAGAACAGCTAAAGAGTGTGCCTCAAGCTTAGCTGTCTCATTTTGAGTTCAAATGCAGCATTATTACAGTATTCCTGCTTTAATTGTGGATATTATGATCTTCACCCAGGGAATTGCACAACCCAAGGTCATATGCAAATGCTGCTAGGATTGGATCTTCACCATGATTTTTACTGTAAAGTTTTGGGACAATAAACGGTACTCCCTCCGTTTCATATTGTAAGACTTTCTAGCATTATCCATATTCATATAGATGTTAATGAATCTAGGCATATATCTATTTGAATGTGGGCAATGCTAGAAAGTCTTACATTGTGAAACGGAGGAAGTAGGTTTTTAATATGATTTGGAAATATTTTATACTTTCACATTGGTTATATATTTTATAATATATGTTACGCAAAGTGCTCTGCTTGTAGTTTAGGACCTATCAAATGTTAGTGGTGTGCACGCGTATGTGTCTTTATTGCAATCTAAAATGTTAGACTTTTTAAAATCAAAGGGCAAAGATGGAGTTGTTGAGTAGCACTCTTGGTTGCTCCATGGACGAGCTCCGCTATGCCATCTGCAAGTCTCCACAAGTTCTGGGATTTTCTGAGACGAAACTCCGTGCCAAGATAAGAGTTCTTGGTGACCAAGGTCGGATTGGAGCCTGACTACATTTTGCGAAGGCCTGTGCTCTGCTTGCGTTCAGCCTGGAGAAGCGGTTGGTGCCGAGGCATTATGTTGCAGAAGCCCTTGCTGTGAAGGGATTGATAAGAAAAGGTCTTGACTTCTACCATTGTGTATGTATGCGCGACGAAGTTTTTGTAGCAAAGTACATTGATCACTATGAGGATGCTCTTCCTGGGCTCGCTGATGCCTATGCTGCTGTTCGTGCTGGGAAATTGCCTGCACAAGTCTAACTCAACATCTTCGGACTCATGTTGCAGGTCTATTATCTCCCGGCCTATATAGCTAATGCAACACTTCATTTTCTGAGGTTATCAGTTGATGAGGTAACATCTATTTTCAAATCTTGACATCAACGGTAGAACTACAAACAATCTGATTGTTGATAATGCTATGCTGGTTGAAGTCATGGATATTTATGCAGCATCTCGATTGTTTTAAGCTTGCTGGCCTAGTGCCCTTAATTTAATGCTCATACGATGTCTTGTTTCTTTGACAACTATTTTCTTGTTCTCGTACTTTGAGCAAACAGGGTTCTCGCAGTTTTTCATGCTTCATTTTCTCCCCCTCTGCATTTCCTAATTCCGATTTATCTCAACCTTCAGTTCATGTTTACGATTTCTAGATAGTAGTCCACATGACGCCACAATGCATGGCCTGGTTGGCTGATTAAGCACCGATGTAGTCTTAATCATTCTTGAATGGTCAAATATCATGGATATCCTCTTATTGAACTAGAAATGCCATGCATTCAGAATGAAAGGAAATATGATAAGGGTAATTTTTCGAATGCTCCTTTCCCTCAATCTCTTATTCTTTATTTGCTCATTACTGAAAAAGAAGAAGTTATGTATGTCTGATAGTCTGTATCGTTCTGTCATCTAGCACTAAATAAGCCTTCCAATTATCTACTTCAAAACTACAGTATGATAAATTTGATGCTTCGAAAGTTAGCTTTGATGCCTGCCATAATTACACCTAACCAATTTTAAGCTCAAATGAATTAGGCCGAGTTTAGTTCCAAACTTTTTCTTCAAACTTTCAACTTTTCCATCACATCAAAACTTTTCTACACACACAAACTTCCAACTTTTCCATCACATCGTTCCAATTTCAACCAAACTTCCAATTTTAGCGTAAACTAAACACACCCTTAATTGATGTGGAAGTTGGAACAGGATGGCATTGCCTTGGTTGCTGCAACAGATGGCATCTGCCAAGCTCCTTGTGCCGCGCCATTGTAGAGACTAGAGGCTGGGGCGCGCCAGTGGCGCGCCGCCTGTGGACAGCTCAAACAGATGCATAATTGGCGTTTGTCTATGATTAGTGAAAATCAATGTTCATTAATATCTGTAGCAAAAGTCATCAGACACAAACTACCACATTTGCTAGTAGTGATAGTTATAGCACAATCATTTGTCTTTGGGCATAATTACAACAAAACTCCTAATAATGAGAGTTCCACTTGTTCAGGTAGTTCTGGTACTTGCGCAAATCAAATACAATGAAAAGGTATAGCTGCACTTTAAACTACTAAAACATCTAAATTTCCATCGAAGGGCTAGGCATTTGTGATGCTATGGTTAAATTTGCTTGCAAGAAATCTGAAAACAGAAAACCAAAACAAATGCTTCAAACATTCGATGGAATCATTCCCTGCTTCTCGTCCTCCAATTGCTTTTTCTTCACCAAAAGCTCCACCAAATTTCATCGTCATCTGTGGGTATAATATGTCACAGTCGGTACCGTGGAGCCTATATGGCAAGAGCAAACAATCACAAAAGAAACCCAAATAGGACATGGCAATAAAAGAAACCCAAACAGGACATGGCAATAAAAGAAACCCAGAAACAAGTACATAAAAAAAGATGCAGGCATGCAATTGTCCTCTGAGGAGGGTTATTAATACTATATGACAGATTTTATCCTTAGTATATTAATTCTCAGAAGATATATTTATGGCACAGGATATGGTTCGTTATTTGGTCATGATACATAAGAGAAAATCCAGTAGGGTTAAATTTCTTCGTGATTCTTTTTTAAGTGTCACTAAACATGGATATTATCTTATAAAGAATTTAATACATTAATAATGCATACAGTACACATAATGGAAGAAAGGTTTAAAAGCCTAAGCTCATTTCAACTATTAAATTTGAGTCATATCTTAGTATAATTCAATAAACAGAGAAACAACGAGACTATAGTGAAAACATACAAATCATCAACCTTCACCAAGACCACTTTAGGAAATCAGAAATACAATACTACACATAAACAGAGGATGAAGATCCATTAGTGCCAAGGTGGGCCTTGATTTCAGTTTATAAGATGTATTCTCAATCTCAGACCAAAACATACATAATAAAAAATCGCCAAAACACTCTCACAAAGTTATATCATATACATTAACGACCATTGTACTGAACAATTTCAGGATTGTTAATAACAAGAAGAAGCAAGGTTATACTTATCACCAGGAAGTAGGAGAACACTTGCGATTTGCCATTAGAAAAAGAAGTTGACAACATAGAAAATATCTGTGAATTTTAATCTAGCTATGAGAATTCCTACAAGGCAGTTTGAACACCACATGAGTAGCTATCCATGTTAACCAAAAATGGACAGGTAGAAGAACACCTCAATACCTCCAAGTGTGCTAGTTTATTCCTCATAGTGCATAAGGACCTCCCGGCTGACTGAAAATCTAACTTAGGCCTCAAGTGTGCTCATGTACAACAGGCAAAGTCCATATTAATGCCTTCTATCCTACCAATATGCATGGAAGCTATATGTATATAACAAATTATGCACCAACACTACAAACAATTCATCTATCAAATGTGATACGAGAAAACCGATGCCAATTATATCTGCAAAAAAGAAAGTGAGTAGGGCAAAATCATGTGCACAAGACATACTTTTAAAGTCGTGACGTTCATTGGGGTCCATGTTTTAGTTTGCAAATTCCAATAGCTCTGCATCCATGAAACTGCTGCAAATAAGAGCATGGTCGCTTAATTTTTCAACTTTGCCAGAAAATGAAAAAAAATCATGGTAAATGACTACTAAGCAAAGAATTGTGATCTCTAATGCATTACACGAGAATAATATTTGACAATAACACTATTGATTGTAGGGAGTACTAACTTTTTGAATTCACTCCTAGCAATAATATTTGACATCAGGAGTACTAACTTATTACTCCCAATATCAAATACTGTTGATTGGAGGAAGTAGTCTTTTTACCAAGCTCTCTACCAAATAGCTTTAGCCTTAGTGGCACTAAAATAGGAGAATCATTCATTGATAAAAACACTAAAAAACGGTTGCAGTTTAGGTTAACTACAACAACCATTTACCTGCTCCTCACAAGCAATTCAGAGTGTTCCACTCACAACATTTTAGAGATAGCAACAATAGCATTAGAGATGGTACTGCTTTAAGTGGATAATCATTTAGAGATGATACTGCTTTTAGATATAGGAACAATAGAATTGAGCATATAGTGAAATTTTCGGAGTGCAATAAGAATCTAAAGAAGCAAATTGCTAATGTTAAGTGGTCAACATTGAGACATTCAAGGTAATTTATCAGATGGATGGCATGTACTGCTGCAACAATGATCACACAACGAGCAAACAAAACCTGTCAAAAAAATTCGTGTCAACTAAATTTCATATGCAGATCCAAATTTGAAACCTTTTTGTGGTAAAAAAGTTGGTTTTAACAACCCCCTCCCTCCCTCCCTCCCTCCCATTTTAGTTATGTTGCATTGTTGCATATTACATGATATGACCTTTAAATTTCCTTGAGGGCTTTGACACTTGTAGGTCGGTTTTTTTCTAGGGATGAAAATGGCCACGGAAATTCCCTGCCGACTGAGTGTCGTTTCATATCATTGGTACCTTTTTGACCGTTGTCCTTTTTAGCTACATATAAACAATAGTTTAATTGATAAATATGGCCTGTTACCAACTGACCGAGGGCCATTTCCGTAGAGACAGTACCGATTCCGGCTGTTTTGATCCCTTGTTTTTTCTACCCGGTTTTGACACCCTATTGTTGGTGTAATAATCTTTGTAACCACTCTCCTAAAATATTAATGAAATTTAGTTGGCCTTGTCCTTCAGCTAACCCAGCTAATATTAATTTTTTTTCTACATTGTGGATGATAGCTCTGTCCATGTCCCATGGAGGAAAGCCGACCACCTGAAGCAGGTGCAGTTGAGCTCCTATTTCTCAGTCACCACAGGTGGGAGATGTTTAGTGAACTTGTGATTTTCTTTATGTCGGCAGAAGCAGAAACAGACAACTAAATGATCATCCATGGCGGTTTTAACGTCTCCATCAAGAGATTCTAGTGGGCTAGCAGATGTCTACTGGTAATATGGTACAAGCATTTATGCCAAAAAAAGGATGATAATATAAGCATATGGAATATGTGATAAGATAATGCCTGAAACATGTTCTGTGATACCTGCACAAGATTGGCCCTGTGATCAACCATATTAGACCTCGACTCTAAAACTTTGATCAGCAGAATCCGAACAAACCGATATCTCTGATGCCTTGTCAAGGCCATTCGACTTGTATGGAGCGACATGATTTGAGGCTTTGAGTGGAGGGGTAGATCAATTCATTATGTATTCATTAGTACCTGCAAATTTATGGTATTAGCACTCAGCTATAGCTACAATTGGAAAAGTCCATTATAGTAACTTTCTATATTTACATGTGGAGTGTATTAGCACATCAGAAAGGTTTATGAAATGCTTAACTGTATCCAAAACCTCAGCTTGAGTAAACTTCTAAAATACCCTTTCAAAAAACCAGAAAGCCTCTCTAACTGCTATTGCTGATCCTACAGTTTTTTGTTTTTCTTCAGTTCCTTGGGATGCCATCTATCCTTTCATGATCTCATTCCAAACATGTGAATCCATGCACCCCTGCCTAAATTTTTCATCAGTGAGTAATGAAAACAACGCTAAATATAACAAATAGGACATTCCAAGATATATGAGTTATAGCCTAATTAGGTTTCAAAAACATTCTTAAAATAAGTAGGCAAAAGTTCTCGCATGCCAACAGATATTTTTGCCCAACTACCACTGAAATGATCCGACTTTTTTTTTAGAACTTGAAATGACAGACTTGGTAGCATATGTCCATCTGATCTCCTCTATAAACTAAACAATACATGGCGGGAGAAGAGTAGAAAAGGAAGGCTAACTAATCTAAATATGTGGTTTTCCTTTACTGCTTGAGAACAGTCATTAGTATCTCTCACATTATGGAGGAATTAAAAAAATGTGTTGAGGCCTAACAGTGAATGATCCTAGATAATAATCAGACAACTCCACAAAAGGAGAGACGTTATGTGTTTTATTAGTACTATATTGCAAAATTCGTAACCCGTTCAAAAATATTTAACATAACCCAATGAGCGAATGGACAATTAGAAAAAACTAAGAACAGGATGTGGCTAACAACATGACATCGGTTGGTAAAAAGGTCAAGCTTTTTAATAGGAGTGGGACGGAAGGAATGGATTATATTTGGCTGCGAAATCAATCATGTTGATACACTGAAAATCTAGAATAGATTAGAGGAAGAAGATGCTGACAGGGAGGAGCTGCAAGAAAAAATTACCATGAAACTGATCCTTGCCGATCTGGCTATCCCTACGCAGGCTGAACATGTCATCGACATTAACCGCCTCGCAGTCGGCGTGGACTCGCGGCAGCCGCAACTGTCATCGTCCATTGGTCACAGGGACAGCACGGCCCCTCCATGGCGCCCGCAGTCCCCTACGGCGGTCCAAGCCTGCAGTACAGGCTGGTCGCCCTCGCCGGCGGAGGAGGCTGGATGACCCTGCTGATGATGGCCAGTCAAAGCATGTGGCCCCAGTGGAGGTTGAGCCGCAGCAGGACCGTCCTACCCCCGATGAGAAAAGCAAACGTGCTTAGGAATAAAATTAACAGAAGGACAAAAAAGCTTTACCTGCAGCTCCTTGAAGGTGATGTTCATGTTTAGCCGGTTTTGCAGTAAGCTCACTATTTCACCAGCACGTCGTTGGGGCGGTTGGGCTGAGACAAAACACAAAAAACATGCACAGTTCATGTCAAGAAAGTTGCATATTTGGAGCATATTCTGCGAGAAAGTAAAAATGGGATCACGGAGGACATGGTCGGGGTCCTTCCAAGAAGTTCCTGATGGCCATAATCTTGCTCTCCAGCCCAAGCTGCTCGGTGTCAAGCTCGTCGGCTAGCTCCTGTGTGCCACCGGCTTCCACGTCACTCTGCAACTCCACTCCTCTAGAGAAAGCCGGAGCCGCCTGGCGACGTACGGTCCTCCTCTTCTCGACGCAACCACTGCCTTCCTTGGCGCCGGCTCCGTCACCACCGCCGTTTCTTCGATGGCAGCCGCAACGGAGGGTGGAGCACCGACCGTCGGCGACGGCGGCGAAGCACGCAGCAGGGGCGGCGGGCTCGTCAGCAACGGGGCGAGGCGGTGGCGGAAGTGGCGGCGCTCGGCGACGACGACGGTGGTGACGGAGGCGGAGATGCTGCCCGGCGCACGGGGGATGTCAGATCCCCGTCCCCCGACCACATGGGGGCCAGATCCGGACGCTGGTGGCCGGAGACGGCGGTCGGCAGGGACGGAGGGAGGCGAAGGTGGAAGTGGCGGCGCGAGGCGACGACGCTAGTGGAGGCGGAGATGGGTGCGCTCGCCGACGGCGACGATGCGATGGGGAGGCTGAGGCGCTGGGAGACGACGGGGCGACAGCGGCGGCGACGACGCAATGGGGAGGCTGAGGCGCTGGGAGACGACGAAGCGACGGCGGCGGCGATGAGGTGGACGCGGCGGCGCGAGGGGAAGGCAGAGGCGTAGGCGGAGGCGTAGGCGGAGGCGGAGGCGGAGGCGGTCGCGCGGGACGGAGGCGGCGGCGCGAGGGGGAGGCGGAGGCGGAGGCAGGAGAGCGAGAGGATGGGGACGAGTGGGAGGAGGCGAGACGGAAGGCGGCGGCTAGGGTTTGGGGGTGGGTGGGCTAATGGGGATCATTATGCAAAAAATCCCCTCGACTTTAAGATTGTACAGCGCGGTCCCGATTCGCGTTTTTTCTCTCCCACGCACGGAATATCCGGCTACTACAAGGGCTTTCACGTAAAACATCGGCTCATAGGAACTGTTCGCTAGGGACCCATATTGAATTATATATAAATCGGAGGGATTTTTCGCAAAATTTCCACCGCGCGCCTCAATCCCAGCCGCCCACGCCTGATCGGACGGCGGGAGGAAAAAGGGGCGACGTGGCCCGCACCAACATCGCCCCAGCCCGCGCCCCTTAATAATATGCGATGTGTGGAGCTTCTAAGTGCACTGTCTCACACTTGGTTCTGTAGTACTGGCAGGGTTGACAGAAATCTTTCCCTTGTGTTTTGTAGGGTTGAAAGGATTTCGGCTTTATGATTGATACTCCCTCCGTTTTACAATGTAAGTCATTCTAGCATTTTCCACATTCATATTGATGTTAATGAATCTAGATCCATATTCATATTGATGTTAATGAATCTAGATAGATATATCTAGATTTATTAACATCAATATGAATGTGGAAAATGTTAGAATGACTTACATTGTGAAACGGAGGAAGTATGAAACAAGTAGAGCTGACCCAACTTCTATCCAGGCCAAGCAAAGGGCTTCGTGCAGCATGCCAAGAAGCAACCAAGGGATTACAGATTCTATCCTTTTTTTTTTGGGTAACAATAAACTCTGCAAGGAGATATAAGAGTTAATTTGGTTACCAAAGTTGGACTGCATGGTGAGGCTGCAATGCTTTTGTTTCAGTCTGGAGAAGCGGTTCATGCCGAGGCATTAGAGCACCCGCAATGGTAAAGTAAGGTGCTATCTATAAAACATGTACATCTTAGCAATAGACTAGATTAATAGTAAACCACCACAATAGTATGTCTACATGAGTATCTATAACTCTCTCATGCATTGTCTCGTTTTTCTCTATAGACTATCTCTAAGTTAGTAGATAGTTTTGCTCTCTCTCTTCATTTAATATCTTCCATGTAGGAAAATATGCTGATATGGATCTCTTATAGAGAGCCTATAGATAACCATTGTGGGTGCCCTTATGTTAGTAGAGATACCTGGGGTGAAGGGATTGATAAAAAAATGGTGCTGAATTTTACAGCAATATAGTAGTATCATTTTTGCTAGCAAGATACTTCTACATTGACCACAGCAAACTAGCAAAGGGCACTACATTAGTTCATGGATTTGCAGATGCCTTTGCTGCAGTTTGTTCTGGGAAAATGCCTGCAAAAGTCTTAGCTTAAGATATAAGGTTCATTTTATTTTTCAGGCTCATAGCTAAGAGTAAGACAACATCACATGAAAACACCTTTTGCTGTGAGCCTTGATGTCAGTCCTTGTAATGTCTGTCTCGAATCTTGATTTTAGCAGTACAAGAACTATCCGATCCCTCCTAATGCTTTTCGGGTCCAATTTGTGGATGTCATGCAGCAACCTGATTGTCTTAATTTTGATTCCTAGTGCTCATGTGATGTCTTATTGCTTCTGCAACTATGTTCTTGTTCTGATACTTGGGGGGAAAAAGTGTTATCAATGATTAAGCCGGTTATCAGATGTGTTGTTTTAAATTGACATTTTTACTTCATTCTTGTCGAAACATAGCTTTTCTTTTAGAGCCTTATCAAATAATAGCTGATAAAGCTGTTATGCGATCTTAAAAGATCAGTTCTTGTCAAATACTAGCATACTACTACTTCTGTACCAAAATATAGGGATAAGTTCATTGTACATTCCTCAACTCTTCATGTTATCTAATTTACACCCCGAACTATGAAACTAGGTATATTGCACCCTTAAACTATCAATACTGGACATTTTACCCTCTTGGAGTGGTTTTTAAGCTGGTTTTGGTATAGTTGGATGCCATTCAACAAGTAGTTCCACGTCAGCATAGGGGTCCCACCTGTCAATCCCACACTCTCTTCTCCCCTCCCTCGATAAGCTCCACGGAGGAGCCGAAGCTGCCGGCAAGATACCTCCCTCCATCCCCGGCCTCATCCCTTCCTCCATCCCCGTCTAGCTCCCTCCATTTGTTTTCCTGTCACATATTAGACGTGTTGTGATAGTAGGACGCAGACGGCGTTGGGTGCTTGCGTCCCTTGCAGAGGGGACGGGGTCAGCGGGGCGACCTCGACCCCGTGAAGAAAACCACTTAGGTGTGTAAATTAGACGATTTCAATAGTTGAGGGAGGGGGGTTGATACCCAATTTTGAAGTTTGGGGGTGTATTTCGAACAAACATTTTAGTCGGATATGACATATTTTAGTACTATGAATATGGACTCGGCTGTTTATATTCGTAGTCTATGTTACATCCAGCCAAAAACCCTTATATTTCGCGACGATGGGAGTAGTTTGCTCGTTTAATTACCGAAGGGCTAGGTGGTTTTTGAGATTGATTAGGATGAATATGAAGTTAAGGCACATAAAATGAGAAAGCTATTAGTGCATGGGTAATTGACTTTTAATTATCAAAAACTTGAAATATGTGTTTATTTATATTTTAAAGTAACATCTATATAGAAAGTTTTTTCTATGAAACCCATCGTTTATCAGTTTGAAAACACATGCTAACGGAAATCGAGGAAAAATCTATAAGTTGACGAGAGAAGAACACCTATGTGTTCGAATTGATTTAAAGGAACTGCATAGGATGCAAGGTCCGCGCAGTTACCAAGCTTACCGCGGGGGTACGGTAATATAAATACTGCGGTAACCTCCTTAAATTCAAATAAATTTAAAAAATAATTTGAAATTTTGATAAATTTTGTACGGTTTTTCACGGTTATCGTGGTTACCGCGCGGTAACCGTGCTTACCACCGGGGCGCCGTAACCCGGACTCCGGCGGTTTGGGAAACCCTGGTAGGATGTCAATTGGAGTATTTTCACCCAAAGAAAGAAGCATTAGAATTATACATGAACAATGCAGTGGGTATATTTTCACATGCATCCTTTAATTGTCACTTTTGGATATGGTAATTAACGAGTCGCCACTCACTGTGATATGTGGGCTCTCATGTGTCTATACATGTGGGGCAGTGGCAAATCGTTGCAAATAGGGTGAAACTAATCACCTCCATTTCCCCACCCTTCCCTCTCTCTCTCTCCTCGCCGCCTCAAACTGATCGAGGCTGACCTCCTCCGATCCAGCGATTCCTCCGCTCATCCTCGCGCGCGCCGCCGCCGCCGCCGCCGCCAGCTGCAAGCCGCCTTGCCCCACGGATTCCCTCTCCCCGCGCGAGCTGACTCTTCGTCGGGCTTCTCGCCATTGGCGTACGTACTCTTGCTGCCGCACGCGCCACGCGGTGCTGCGCGTTCTACTCTGGTCTCCGGTGGCCTCTTGGCCGGAAGCTGCCGCGGCGGCGATGCGAGCTGCTTGGTGCTGACCCAGGAGATCCCTCGTTCCTGCTAGTTATCGGCGCGCCCTCGTGTCTGCCCGAGCTGTTCTTGCTCCGCGCAGGCCGCAGGGGGGGCGCCGCGCCGACGCCCGCAACCTGTTCGACGGAATGTCTCCGCGGAAGAAGGCCAAGGAATCGCCCGGCTCGACCGGCGGCGACCGGATAGGGGACCTCCCGGACGAGGTGCTCCACCACGTGCTCTCCTTCCTACCGGCGCAGGAGGCCGTCCGGACGTGCCTGCTAGCCCGGCGATGGCGCCACCTCTGGAAGTCCGCCACGGGGGTGCGCATTGGCGAGGGCGAGACTGATCCGGGAAGCGTGAAGGACCACCAGGAGTTTCTTGACCATCTGTTGGTACTCCGTGATAGTGTGCCTATGGAAACCTGCGTGCTAAGGTTTAGTGAGCACAGCAAAGAGCTCATCGAGGACGCAGCCCGGCTGAATTTTTGGTTCAAGCATGCTCTGCTTCGCAAAGTTCGGTTCCTCCAGCTTGAAAACTGGGAGTTTTATGACCCGGTTCCGATAGATGAGCTGCCTCTTGTCTCCCGGCACTTGACAAGGCTACAGCTTTACGGTATAAGTCTAAATGATAGCTTCCTTAACTTCTCGAGCTGTCCAGCGTTGGAGCATCTATTGTTTGAGTTTTGTTTCTTCGAGTGTGCCAAGATCTCATCTAACTCGGTGAAACGTCTGAGCATCACTTGCTGTAGTTTCAATGCGACCTTGCGAGTACGTGTAGATGTCCCAAGTCTTGTTTCTCTGCGGCTTGATGAGTTTGACAACCGGGCTCCAGTGCTTGAGAGGATGCCATCATTAGTTGACGCATTTGTGAGAATCTTCTTCTATACTAAAGACTTTTGTAGTGAATCTAACTCTGGGGATTGTAGTCATGAGGGCTGTGAATCTTGTTATGGTATCAAGGACAACAAATGTGTGCTTCTGGAAGGTTTATCGAACGCTAAGACGTTGGTTCTGATAAATAAACAAAAATCAGTACGCTTGCACTTCCATCTTTAGTTCGTTTATATTATATCATTTCTATAACCGTGCTTATATCCACTCAAACTGTGAGGATTTGTTTATCTTCTTATTTGTATTCTGTACAGTTTATTTTCAGAAGGGATTTGAAATGGTGCCCAACATTTACGAAGTTAAAGACTTTGTTACTCAATGAATATTGGTGTGTGCCTGATGATTATAGTGCACTAGCTTGCATTCTTGAACATTCACCGGTTCTGGAGAATCTCATTCTTCAGATATATTCTGAGGTATACCTTCTCTAATTTGACATATAATTCGTTGTTGAAGGTTTTAAACATTTTTCTATTGTTCTTATTAAATGTTTTAATTTCTGACAGGGACCTGAACATATAATGAAAATCAACGGAAACTGCTCTTCAGTGGATAGATCAGCTGCAATATCAGCACACCTTGAGATAGTTGAAATCAGATGTGAAATGATTGATAACTTTGTAGACGAAGTTTTGAAGTATCTGTCTACATTTAACATACGTAAAGAACATACTTCATTTTTTTCTATATTTCAGAGATTTTCCTTCTTCATATGCGTGAAACATAGCAAGCAGTATTGAAACTCTTAAGTTCACTGGAAATGGCTAGGAACAGGGATTGATTCAGAAATTAAAGCATGCACTGCATTTGGTCTGATTGGGAAGAAATTACCTAGTATAACTCTTTTGGCTGGTAGTATCCAAAGAAGAAAAACCATACAAAGATTTCTTAAAACTTCCTTGCATCACACAACCAGCATGATAATTTTTATGTAATATGGCTGTAATTATATCTTTCAATCATTTGATTTTATTTTCTTTCCCATCAGTTGCATATTGCAGTTTATGTTGATGTTGCCATCTTGAATTCCAGTTTATTACTTGCTCTTATTGCTCCCATGTCATTTGCCATGTGGACAAGTACCTCACAGACTGCTTATCACGTTGTCAAACTACTAATGTGAGAGAATACTGTTCTTCTGAAGTCTCAGCTTAACCTACCATAGGGCTGAATGCCTGAATGTGCTCTTTAGCTGTCTGCACTAACCATCCTAGTCACATCATAGCAACTAGTGCCAATAACTGCATAAGATTGCTTAGTTCTTTTGTTTAGCTAAGATAATGTTTTTCGGTGCCTCTAGATTATATTTGTTAGGTGGGGGCTCTACTCACGGCACCTGGCCATTGAGGCCTGAAGTCCAAGCATCTTGTTTACCAGTTATTATAAGTACCCTTATAGTCCCTAGAGCATGCATATTTCTCTATTGTTGTGTGCCAGGCTATAGAGAATCCATCAACTCTGCAGTATAAGCTGCAACCAGGAAATAAAGGGTCAATACTTCCCCAAGTTAGGGCATTTTATTATGTTTCTTTTCTTTGAATGAAGTAGTGGGTATAATCAGAATTTTTTATGGAGAAGTAATGTGGTATTTGTAGCAATTTGTATTTGGAAAGATTGATCTAATGGACTACCTTTGTCAACTGATTCAATGTTTTCGTTTTGAAGTAACTGAAACTTCTGTAAGTTAATTTTCAGCTGAGACATCTTGAAATTTACTGTGCTTGTCGTATTTGTTATTTCTGCAGTTTTCAATTTTGAGGAAATCGGGATTTTTGATGATGACGAAGACGAAGACGAAGATAGAGATGGAGATGATGATGAAGACTCTTACGAAGACGATGATGATAAAGATGAAGATGAAGACTCTTACGAAGACGATGATGATGAAGATGAAGACGAAGACTCTTACGAAGAGGGAAATGAGGATGACAATGAAGATGCTTGATGCACCACCATTTTGATTATTCAGAAGGTTGAGACCTAAAGGATGGTAACATTGGTGTTTTTCTCCCTCTAAGTAGCTTGAAGGGGCAGACTTTTGGATTTGTAGTAGGGCTGTGTTTAGTTCCACGCTAAAATTGGAAGTTTGACTAAAATTGGAAGTTTGAAGAAAAAAGTTAGAAGTTTATTTGTGTAGGAAAGTTTTCATGTGATGGAAAAGTTGGAAGTTTGAAGAAAAAGTTGGGAACTAAACCAGTCCCTAGGTTACTTAGGTCATCTACCCAGAAGCGGTTTGACGTTTTATTATGCATTTCTAGTAGTCTTTGCTCAGTTGACCGTGTAGTCTTCTGCACTGATCAACATATTCATGAGCTCACCTAGAAATTTGTAATCACCAGAGGCTGAGGGACCGAACAAATTTACTCTTGAATAGTCCTCTCTAATCCTAAAATTCGTAATCACCAGTTAATTACGGGCTTGCTGTAATACTTGCTATTTTATTTTGTGGGGAGTTCTGTATCTACTCTGTTTATAAATGTAGTGCGTAGGGAATACACGGCCGCGCTTAGATACGCACGCAAATTAATACTGGCTTAAGCAGAAATACCATTAAACGCAAATTAACTATTATTGACAGAATGCTCCCTGTTCATTTCATTTAACCTAAAGGTAATCTCAAAACATAGTATGCATATGATTGGGAGTAGGGGTGGACAGGAAGCTCGTGGCTCGTTAGCTCGCTCGGCTCGTGACAGGCTCGGCTCGGCTCGTTTGATTTTCCTAGCGAGCCGAGCTGGAAGTTTAGCTCGTTAGAGATAACGAGCCAGCTCGAGCTGGCTCGCGAGCTTTAATGAGCTAGGCTGCCAGACCACAAAGCCCATAGGCCCATTTATTTAGAAGGCCCAATAGACCAAAAACCAAAACCCTAGCTTCCCTTCCCCCTTCCCTAGTGGTGGCGGCTGAGCTCCCCGTCTCCCCCACACGCCGGCGCCACGCGACGCGGCCCACGCGGCCACGCCCAACACCGCCGCTCTGCGCCTCCACCCTAGCGACCGACGCCGCCACCTAACCCCAGCGCCCGACGCCGCTGGCCCGCCGCTCTCCGACTCTCCCTGCCCCCACGCCCGACGCCGTCGGCGAGCTCGAGCTCGTCCCACACGCCGTCGCCGCTCTCCGCCCCTCCCCCTGTGCCTGACGGCACCGGCAAGCTCGAGCTCGTCCCCTCCGCAGCCAAGTTCCTCCCCGTGGTCGCCGCCTCGCCGGCGAGCTCGAGCTCGTCCCCTCCACCGCCAAGTTCCTCCCCGTGGTCGCCGGCGAGCTCGAGCTCGTTTCCTCCGCCGTCCAGCTCCTCCCCGTGGTCGCCGGCGAGCTCGAGCTCGTCCCCTCCACCGCCAAGTTCCTCCCCGTGGTCGCCGGCGAGCTCGAGCTCGTTTCCTCCACCGTCAAGCTCCTCCCCGTGGTCGCCGGTGAGCTGTCAAGGTGCCGGCGAGGTTGAGCTGCTTCCGTGCCTCCGTGGTCGTCGGCTGCCCCCAAAGCTCACGAGCCTAACGAGCTGGGTTTTTAGCTCGTTAGGATAACGAGCCGAGCCGAGCTAGCTCATTATTCTAACGAGCCAGACCAAGCCGAGCCGAGCTGGGTTTTTAGCTCGTTAGGATAACGAGCCGAGCCGAGCTAGCTCATTATTCTAACGAGCCAGACCGAGCCGAGCCAGCTCGACATCCACCCCTAATTGGGAGTCTGTTATTTGAGGGGCACAAGACTTTCATGTTACTAATTGCTCATGTAAACTTGTAAATATTACTGGCCGATCAATAACAAAGTATTCCATGTGCATACTAAACATAAGAGAATGACCAGAGTTAAGACATTGTTAAGCATGCAAAGGGACCACATGTTCTAGGCATTTTTTTTACAAGAAACTCCGCATAAACAGGGGCGGAGCTGGAATGAAATGGACGGGGTGCCACATGTTTAATTTACTCTACATTAAATCGAGTTTAAATTGATGTTGGTGTCTAAGTTTGTATGGACGGGGGTGCACACATGGTGAAAAAAAAGTGAGATATAGCTAAAAAATTTTCTTAATCAGGTTTCCTGGGCACCCCCTAATATACTCTAATTCCGCCCCTGCGTAGAAATATAAGCTAACATTTCGCTTATACTTATCCATATGGGTTATTGGCAACAAAAAATAATTTATAAGTAAAACTTTTAGATACATGTCCTTAGCGATTCAAAAGCAAATTCTGTAAATATAAACCACAATGAAAAGAACCACAAAATTACCTCCAAAATTAAGTTTTGAATTTAAAATTTGACCTATAAATATAAGAACGTGAGATTTTGGTTACTGAAGCGCGGAGTTGGCCTTTAAGCATGCTACAATGCTCTTGTTCAGCTTGAAGAAATGGTTGGTGCAGAAGCATGAAAAAAGGTGATGGCTTTTACCGCTATGCTATCTTTTGCTCAGGAGGATTTCTTATAAAGGTACATTGACCACTGCAAAGGGTACTACTACTAAGATCATGTTCAATGTACCATCATGGACAGCGGTCTCAAGCTCCACGTTAGATTCAAAATAAAAGGAAATACAAAAGGCAGCGGTTCAAACATATTAGTGTGATTTGCGGAAGCACGGGTGGTTTGGGAAAAAAAGGGAGAGAGAAGGTGGTCTATGGAGAGAGAAGGGGAGGGGAGGAGGGGGGGGGTGGTTGAACGAAGAACCTCACCTGTGGAAGGGACTCGAAGACGCCGTCGTCGCTAGGAAGAGGCCGCTGCCGCCGTCCATTGCCACCCTCGTCGCCACAGACCGCAGGAAGCCGCCGAGCTCGCCGCCCACCTTGCGCCGCTGCCAAGCTCTCCGTTGGTGCGCCTCTCCTACGGGGTGCCACGTCACATGGATTGCCCTACTGTATGACGATTTATGTCCCGCCGTGTGATAGGGTGGAAAGAGTATAGTTCTGTAAAACTTTAAAATTGAAAATTTATTTGTTAAATCTTTTTTTAAAAATAAGTAAAAAATCTGGAAACCCAGCCATATCCCTTCATCTCCTTCCCGTCAAAAAAAAAAACAGAAGAAAAAAAAAACTTTCATCTCCTCCGTGAGACTCTGAGTCTGTGACCCCGTCGTCTTCTCCATCTCCACTCCGATCCGGCGATTCCTCCGCTCATCGCAGCGCTGCTTCTCCATCCGCCTCGCCCCGCCGGAATTCTCTCCCCCACCCCCCGCGCGACCTGACCGTTCGTCGGGCTAGCGAGTGTCGCGCCGTCGGCGTGCGTATCCTTGCTGCCGCGCGTTCCACTCTCTTCTCTTTGGTCTCCGGTGGCCGGGGGAAAGCTTCCGGCGGCGATGTGAGCTGCTTACCCGAACAGCACAGCCCTCTCTCCTGCTCGTTCACGCTAGGATTTGGCGCTCCTCGTGTCGCCCGAGCGGTTCTTGCTACGCCAGTGGGGGCGCCGCGGCGACGCCCGCAACCTGTTCGACGGAATGTCTCCGCAGAAGATGGCCAAGGAATCGCCTCCCTCGACCGGGGGAGACCGCATAGGGGACCCTCCCGGACGAGGTGCTCCACCACGTGCTCTCCTTCCTACCGGCGCAGGAGGCTGTCCGGACGTGCCTGCTAGCCCGGCGATGGCTCCACCTCTGGAAGTCTGCCACCGGGCTGCGCATTGGCGAAGACGATATCTATCTGCGCTGCGTGAAGGACAATAAGGAGTTTCTCGACCGTCTGCTGCTACTCCGTGATGGCGCACCTCTCGACACGTGCGTGCTAAGGTTCCGTTGGCTCGATTGGTACAGAGACGAGGGCCTCGATGACACAGTACGGGTGAACCACTGGTTCAGGCATGCTTTGCTCCACAAGGTTCGGTTCCTCTTGCTCGATGTCGATATATGGTATCGCTTCCCGTTTCTGATAGATGAGATGCCACTTGTCTCCCGACACTTGACGAGGCTACAGCTTAAGAACATAGGCCTAAACGACAGCTTTCTTAACTTCTCGAGCTGTCCAGCATTGGAGCATCTAGTGTTTGAGTCATGCAAATTTGACTGTGCCAAGATCTCATCTAGCTCTGCAAAACGTTTGAGCATAACCAATTCCTATTTCAGTGAGACGTCTCGGATACGTATCGCTATCCCGAGTCTTGTTTCTCTGAAGCTGGATGATTTCCATGGCAGGACTCCAGTGCTTGAGTGGATGCCATCGTTAGTTGACGCATTTGTTAGAGTCCTCTACTGTTATAAAGAATCGTGTAGTCATTATGACTTTGGGGATTGTTGTTGTGAGGGCTTTGAACCTTGTTATGATATCAAGGACCACAAATGCATGCGTTTGGAAGGTTTATCAGAAGCTAAGACGTTGGTGCTGATAAATGAACGTAGATTGGTATGCTTGCACTTCCATCTTTAAGTAGTTTATGTTGTCTTATTATTCTATTATACTATGTTTATATCCAGTTGAACTCTGAGGATTTGTTTATCTTCTTGTTTGCATTTTACCCAGTTTATTTTCAAAAGGGATTTGGAATGGTGCCCAACATTTACCAAGTTAAAGACTTTGTTACTCAATGAATACTGGTGTGTGCCTGATGATTTTAGTGCACTATCTTGCATTCTTGAACATGCACTGGTTCTAGAGAATCTCATTCTTCAGATCTATTCCAAGGTATACCTTATCTAATTGGCCAATTGATTACTTGTTGAAGTTTTGGGGCATTTTTCTATTGACTTTAAAATGTTTAATTTCTGACAGGGACCTAAACATAGAATGAAAATCAAAGGAAACTGCCATTCAATGGATAGATCACTTGTAATATCAACACACCTTGAGATAGTTGAAATCAAATGCGAAGCGGTTGATAAGAGAGTACTCAAAGTTTTGAAATCTGTCTACATTCAACATACTTAAACATTCTTCATTCTTTGTACAATTCTGAAATTTTCCTTTGCCTTCATATGCGTGAAATGTAGTAAGCAGTATCGAAACTCTAAGTTATTGGGAAATGGATGTTAGGATCATGGATTAATTGGGAATTGAAAGCATATGCACTGCATTTGGTATGGTTGGGAAGACATTATCTAGACTACTCTTTTGGCTGGTTGTATTCAAAAAAGCATATTAAGATTTCTAAAATTTTCTTGCATAACATAACAAGTATGTCAACATGTGTGTAGTATGTAATTATATCTTTCAATCATTTGATTTGATTTTCTTTCCCATTAGTTGTATATTTGTGAGAGTCGATATTGCCATCTTATAGCTCGCATGCCATTTTCCATGTACGCAAGTACCTCACATACTTTTTATCTCGTTGTTGAACTCTATTATTGTGAGAAAACTTTGTTATTCTGTAACCATCAGTTTACCGTACTAGAGGTGCTGAGTGTGCCAGCTTGCTGCACTAGCCATCCTGGTTATATCATAGCAGCTAGTAACCAATAATTGGGCAAGATTGCTTAGTAGTTTTGTTTGCCTAAGGTAATGTTCTCCGGTGACACTAAATTATATTTGTTATGTTGGGCTCACAGCTCCTGGCCATTGTGTCCAAAAATCTTGTTTATGAATTGCCATAAGTACCCATATAGTCCCTAGACCATACAATTTTCTTCTTGTTGTGTGCTATACTATAGAGAATCCAGCAATTATGCCGCATAGGATGCAACCATATTATAAAGGACCAATGCTTCTCCAAGTGACGGCATTTTATTATGTTTCCCTTTCTTTGAATGAAGTAGTGGACATAATCTGATTTTGGATCTGGAGAAGTAATGAAGTATTTATGTCAATTTGTATTTTGAAGGGTTGGTCCAATACACTAAGTTTGTCAATGGATTTGAAGTTTTTATTTTGGAGTGAATTTTCAGGTTGGACCTCTTGAAATTTACTGTGCTCTTCTTATTTGTTTCTTTGTGCAGTTTTTAGTTGTAAGGAAATCGAGATTTTGGAAGGATATGACAATGACCAGGACGAAGTGGAGGAAGATGAAGATGAGAACTCTCACGAAGACGAAGATGAAGACTCTTTTGGAGACCCTTACGAAGAAGAAGATGAAGAGGAAGACGAAGACGAATAGGAAGAGGAAAATGTTTGATGCACCACTGTTTTGATTATTCAGAAGGTTGAGACCACAAGGATGATGCCATGGTGTTTTATTCTCTCCGAGTAGCTTAAAGGGCGGACTTTTGGATTTGTAATGAGTTACCTTCTACCTGGTAGCAGTTCGATGTTTTTTTAATTTTTGCTCATTTGACCATGCAGTCCTCTGTACCGATCAACCAATGAGACATCGTATGGTAAGCAGGTGCCTAGTATCCCTCATGCAGCTGATAAAGTCCAATATTACATTAGAGTAACTGCAAACGTCATATAATCCCTGAAAGCATTTGCTCTATGGATGCACCATTTAAATGTAGTGACTTCAAAATCCGAGAAAACACAAATAAATACTTAATATTGCAGATAATATCAGTTTTGAGCTGTAAATTTGTAGTCGCCAGAGGCATGGAACAAATTTACATTGTAATAGTCCTCTCTAATACTCCCTCCGTTTTAAAATGTTTGACACCGTTGACTTTGTAGTACGTGTTTGACCATTCGTCTTATTCAAAAAATTAAGTAATTATTTATTCTTTTCATATCATTTGATTCAGTGTTAAATATACTTTAATGTACACATATAGTTTTACATATTTCACAAAATTTGTTTAATAAGACGAACGGTCAAACATGTGCTAAAAAGTCAACGGTGTCAAATATTTTGAAACGGAGGGAGTACATACTAGATGAAACTTTCCTCTAAATGGTGCAATTTTAGCAAATTTTGTTATTATAGGCAAATTTTCCTCTAAATGGTGCAATTAAAGGAAGAAAACAGAATGGGCTCGAATGCATTGGCCCAATTAGGACGGAAGGGATATGCAAACATATTGGACTCTTCAGTGCACATCAGCTATTTGGATGGGCAAATCAACGATGACGATCTTGGACGTCTGATGCAAATCCGGTGGCTAGATTAATTTAAGGTGACGTGGATGGCTGTGAGAATAGAGAATTAAAATTAATTGCACTTAGTGATGACTAACTTTATAAGTATATATAGGATTCATTGCGACTACCTTGGAACCTTGGCTTCTAAGGCCCTGTTTGTTTCAACTTAAGACTATTATAATCTAAATTATTAAGCCAGATTACTATAAGCTAGATTATAATAAGCAATAGTAGAATAAGCTATGAGTTATTTGATTATCTGGATTATTAATGGCATGGATTATTGAGTTTGACAAGCCAATGTCTATAATGCCCTTGGCTATTTTGGATGCCCTCAGCTATTGTGGAGTGGGAGGAATATGAGACGGCGGCGGCAGCGTGGCTTGGGGAAGGGGCCCGTAGGGTGGGGGGCTTGGGATGGATTTTTGCGCTTGGGGGAAGGAGCCAGGGCGCAGGGTGGGGGCTGGGGGAAGGATTTGCGCGCGACTAGGGAGAGAGTAAGCAGATGCACGCGGGGAGGCGCTGTATTCGCGTGCAACTGGGCAGAGAGGAAGCGGATGCGTTCAACCTGTTGGGTTCGATGGCAGTGGTGGGTAATTTGCAAAAAAAAATTAAAGGGTAGTGGGTCTTTAGCCACCCTATAATCTGAAAAAGCATGTTTATAGGAGATTACCAGATTATACTAATCTGACTTATAGAATATAATAATATTTCTATTTGTTTCAGATTAATGCTAGTAATTCATATTATAATAATCGAAAGCCGAAACAAACATGGCCTAAAGTGTTAAGAGTAGAGTAAAATTCAAGCATATGAAAAATTCAATTTTTGGTTGTGACTTGTAAGCCAATAAGCAAACAATGAGGTCGTATGCCATGATACATGTCAAAAATAATTATTCCTTCTGTTTCATGTTATAAGTCATTTGACTTTTTTCTAATCAAACTTTATTGAGTTTGACCAAGTTTATAAAAAAATTTTAGCAACATCTGAAATATCAAATTAGTTTTATTAAATCTAACATTGAATATATTTTTATTATATGTTTGTTTTGTGTTAAAAATAATACTATATTTTTTTTATAAACTTGGTCAAACTTAAAATGTTTGACTACGAAAAAAGTCAAACGAGTTATAATATGAAACGGAGGGAGTATGTAACATCGTGAAAACTAGCTATTTTCTAATTATACATCATACCGGTTTTTATGTTTTTATTAACCTCCTAAACCTAGGATATTATAATTAGAGGGACCTCCTAAAACTAACTCGCATAAAACCTCTCTTTTGTTTAATTTCTTTTGCGATCTCCATTTAAAATTTATCTGGAGGTATTTCTTGATCTAGTTTTAATTTAAAACCTTCTTTTGACAAAATTCCTTTTATTCAAATTTAGTTTGAAAACCCTTTTTACTTTTATGAACTATGGTCCAAGGAACCTCTCAATATTGCGCTACAACCTAAACCAAAGCAATTCCAATTTTATTGGAATTAATTGTTAACCCATCCTTTGATCTTAAACCTATCCTTAGTTCTCCTTCCAACATTCCCATATTCAAATTCCTCCTTTTACCTAGCCGCCAATTTAATTTATATGGCTTGATCCCCTTATCGGCATGAGAATATTATTATTGCAATATTGTGAATAATTGCTCTTGTGCTAAGAAAATAGATTTTATCCTTCTCATCCAGAAATCCAAATTTCCTTTTTGCCTCAAATAATTCTCTAAAACCCATATCATATATTTTGGGGGCTAAGATCCTATTTATTTTTCTCTATCTATTTTCCTATCATACTCCCCCAAAATATATCCAAATTAGGAGCCCTATCATTCATAATATTATTCTTTTTTTATTTAAGTGCTTCCAAATAAATTCCTTCAAATTCCACTCTACCTCTAAATATATTGCACTCAAATAAATTAGAAGGTCTTTATTTTGAAATTCATCTCCACATATAAATTCCTCCAAATATAAATTCCTTTCAAACCTAGCCATCCAAATCTCCTTCAAATTCTATTAGAAATTAAGAAACAATTCCTTTGGGCCGAAATCTACTTCTGTCTCCTCTCGGCCCATCTCCCTAACCCTAACAGACCAAGACCCAGGCTGGCCCAGCCACACAGCCGATCCTCCTCCCTGTCCCGTGGGCGCCACCGCCGTGTGCCATGGACGCGCTTGGCGCACGCTCGCACGCGCAGCCGCTGCCGTCGCCCGCAGTTCTGCCACCGACGTTGCTGCCATCTTGCCCTCGACGCCAAGCAACCATCGCCGACGTCATCCGTCACCTCACGCCATCGACGTCAGCCCCTGGAGCGAACCGCCATCACCGGCCAATCAGCGGACAGAGCCGGCGCCGTGCTCTTCTTCTCCACGCCTCCATTGCCATGTCCTTCTTCTCCTTCTCCTGTCCGAACCGACTTCCGCGGCCTATAAATAGACGACGAGGTCGGTCCTTTTCCCTCCACACCAACCGAGCTCTTCAAGCTCTGTCTCTCTCTCTATCTATGTCCGGCCATCACTCCTTATATGTCTATGCATTATCCCCCTTAATAGCACGGCTTTCCTACGATATAATGCAAGGTAAAAGATACAATATACCATTTGATCATTGCCCCATTGCATCGCGATGTCGCATTTACGGGATATGCATTGAATTACAACACGTCGAGGACATAACAACCTTCACATTTGCTTCAATAAAAATGTTAGTCCTCTCTAATCGCATTGTAATCAATCATCAAAATCATTAGGGCCCTAGATGCACTTTAAAAAACGAGCGAACTGCTCGTCCACGAACTATTTCCTACTCCGTTGAGGAAATGGCAGCAATCATGTGTCGCAGTACTCCTGCGGCACGACCTTTTCTGGCTGAATCTCTTTGTCAGCCGAGTCACTGGATGGCGCTTCCTTGGCTACCCCATTGGTTTCTCCTTGATAATACGGGCGTGGCTGGTTCCACCCCTGGCCTCCTTGTGGACGGTACCCGTTGTTGTTGTTGCTTATGTACATCGCCTCCTCACGGGTTTCTGGGCAGTCATTCCCAGAATGTCCCATGTTGCCGCAGACCTCACATGTAACGTGTGAGTCCAAGGCCTTGACAGTGCCTTGAGGCCGTTTGTCGTGGTCATCCAAGCGCTTCATGAGGAGGTCTAGCTTGGCAGCGAGTAATTTCGTCTCCTTGACGGTGTGCATACCTCACTGACGGGTCTGGAGTCGTTCCTCGCTCCAACCCATATTGGAGACCATCTTCTCTATTAAATCAATGGCTCCTCGAACCGTTTTACAAAAGAATGCTCCTCCAGTCGCCGCGTCCAGGTGATCGCGGGACATGGGAGTGAGTCCATCATAAAAATTCTGCAGGATTAGCCAGTCGTCCATCCCATGATGAGGACAGGCAGCCACATACTCCTGAAGTCGTTCCCATGCTTCAGGAATGGACTTGTCCCTTGTCTGCTGGAAACTGGAAATCCTTCCACGAAGGGCAATGGTTTTGCCAATCGAGAAGAACTTCGAGAGGAATGTCGTAGAACATTTGTCCCAGGTGTTGACAGCAGCACGGTTGGCGTAGAACCACTGCTTCGCTCTCCCGAGGAGGGAAAACAGGAACAACCTTAGCCTGACGGTGTCTGGACTGACACCCTTTTATGGTGTACATGCTACAGATCTCCAGGAACTGCTGCAGATGAGCATTGGCATCCTCGTTAGGCTTGCCGCAGAACGGGCTAGCCTGCGCCATAGTGATGAGGCTGGACTTCAAGTCGAAATCCACGTCTCCCATGTTGATCTGCGGCCCAATGGCCACATTCTCAGCAGAGGGAGCAATGAACTCGCGGGGAGTCTTGTCAGCCATAGTCTTGAAAGTCGGTTGGCGCTGCTACGGCTGGTTTCTTAGTCGGTAGAGTTTTCTACGGAGCAGTGACTCGCGGTCTGACGCTCCGGAAGAAAGCTTCTGGATTTTCTTTGAAGTTTTTCGGCAAGTTGAAACCAGTCATGCACTACCCTGTTTTCACAACAAAAGTGAAAACAACCAAGGTTAGCCTGCAAAGGGAAATGATTATACAGAGGTAATTATAAAGTATTAGTTCAGGTAATCTCTATTATGAATCTTCCCCGGCAACGGGCCAGAAATGTTTGTTGGTATTTCTTAACGACATTACTAGAAATATAATTCCCAGCAATGGCGCAGAAATACTCCTGGTATATTATGGTTATAGAGTTCATCCGCAAGCGCATGGATATACTATTGTAGCGTTTCACCCGAGAGTATTCCAAGGGTAGTTATCTGATATACTAGCTAATACCCTCTATCTGATGCCCTCCTGGTACTTCGAGAAGCTACCCCTGGCTGTCGAGTTCCTTACGACAGCCCGTCATGACCATACAACCGGGGCTAAATACGGAGGAGTACCCTCCCCAGGGAATTAACTTAGGATTATATACACTCGCGGAGGAATACCCGTACTGAGCTGTCACCATCAGCGGCCCACCTCTCATCCGCAGCATATAACCCCAAATAATAATATCCCGTAATCTAGACACCACGTCTAAACTACCAGATACTACTCTAATATCATTATCATGACATAGAGTAATTACATATGCAAACATTATACCCGCACTAAAGCATCTCCCAGATAAGTTAGCAACATATTCAGTATAATATGAACATAATGTAAAGTAGTCATTTATATATTCAAAAAGTATTTCAATACCATAAATGTATAAAGAAGAGTATTCTAATACTAGTACAAAGCTTACAATAGAGAAGAGAAGAGCTACTAGAGCCATACCCGAACTCTTCCGAAGGCTTCCGGATTCCCGATTTCTACTCTATTCCTATTCTACTAGCTTAATAACACTAAACTAACTTGAGAGAATATGACAGAGCTCTTGCTTGAGGTGTGTGTTGAAGTGAAGAGAGTGAGCTCCTTTTATAGGCATGTATGACGGGTGTAACTGCTGCGAAATGTCTGAAGTACCCCGCAACCGCCATCAGGAGAAGATCTGGAGCGTCCCTGCCAAACCCCATATCCAACGGTGGAGAGGGAGGTTCGGCCGAACCAGGGGCCAGCCAACCTGGCCCAAATTCGGCAGGCGACCTGCTCTATTGTTTCACTTCGTAGACTTGTGAATTTTGGCCCAATTCATCATGTCAATTCTGAGCTCTTGGCCCATTCATGCATAAGTCTGATTGTCGACATCGTCCGATTGATTTATCGTCTGAGTTAATGTCGATTCTCCTCCACTTTATGGTTATTCTCTGCAAAAGGTTAGTAAACCTAATACTAGTGGAATATTATTATTCTAACATGTATATGCATTGCAAGCATCACTGGTTCTCCTCTATTTTGGTAATATTGACGGTCGAAACTGATCGATAACGACCGTCAACAAGTACCCTCCCCAGGAAAGTAACCTAGGATTATATACTAACGTGGAGGAATACCCGTACTGAGCTATCACCATCAGCGGCCCACCTCTACTGTCCCGCAGCATATAACCCTAAATAATGATATTCAATAGCCTAAGCACCTCGCTTATGCTACCAAATACTAATCTACAATCATCGTCATGACATAGAGCAATCATATAGATGAATATTATACCCACACAGTCGCATCTCCCGAGTAAGCTAGCTAGACAATTATATCTCGAATAATATATCGGAAAGTCGGTACTCGTATGATCAGAGTGAAGTATAGTACCATAAATATATTAAGAATAATATTCTATAAATATTGCAAGTCTTACAAAAGAAGGAAAAGCTACTAGAGCCATACCCGAACTCTTCCGAAAACTCCGAGGACCGGAGACTCTATTCTATTTCTATTCCACTGTACTCTAGAGAGTATATTAAACTTGAGAGAATATGAGAAGCTCCTTGCTTGAGTGTGTGGAAGAAGTGAGGATGGGAGGTCCTTTTATAGCTGCCAATAACGGTTGTGGCAGTTGGAATGGTCGAAAATATGCCCTCCAACCGTCATTGGGATGCAATCCTGGACGTCCACGCCAAACCCTGCATCCAACGGCGCAGATGAGGGTTCGGCCGAACATGGGCTGGCCCAATCCAGCCCATTTTCGGATGGCGGCCTCCTTATCTCCTCCTATATCCAAATCAGTGAATTTTGAGCTTATTGGGTCGTGGCAATTCTGTATTCTTGACCCATTCCTTCGTAAGTCTGTATTCTTCGCCCAAGGGCTTGGGCCAATGAACTTAGCCGTTGTTTTGACGGCCTAGATGGTTTCGGCAGGTTGGCTGAAGGCCCTCATGACATACCTCCCCAACAGTATTCTTCCACTCAAATCAACCACATACAGGAGTAGGGTGTTACGCTCCCACAGCGGCCCGAACCTGTCTAAATCCCTTTCTATCTTCAATCGCTCCTGAGGGGCCAGACCCCCTCTTACCCTCTCATCGGTTCTCAGTCTTTCACCCGTGTCCCCAGTCCGAACTGGGCGGCGGTGGCAAACATGGGCGTCGCAAGGGATGATCTCCTTGTCGACGAGCTTCGGCTTGCTGGCTTGCCGGCCGCCTCTCCCCTACCCTCTCAGACTTGCCGGCCACCTCTCCCCACCTCTCCCGTCGGCCGCCTCCCCTTGCGTGGCTAACACCGAGGCTGGGGAAGAAAAGAGAAGAAAGAAGAGGGCGTGGGCCCTATGTCTTTTCTTGTCACTTACATGGGCCCCACATAATATTTTTATTTTTATTTTGCTGACTAGGATGCCACATCATTAAAAGCAGGCATCTATATTGCTGTGGGATCCAAATTGCACGGTTGTGTACAGTTTAGAGGTAAAAAAAACACGATGTAAAAGTCCAGGAACTGACAGGTGGGCTTATTGCTAATTACTACTAGGAATAAGTCCACTTTACCTCCCTCAACTCATGGCCGTGTATGAATATCATCCCTCAACCGCAAAACCGGGTATAACCCATCCCCCAACTCTGAAAACCGTTACAAATCAACTCCCCGGACGGTTTTGGAGGCGGTCTTGTCCTACGTAGCAATTGACTTGCTTACGTGGCAGTTGATTTGCTGAGTCATCAAACGGGACCCACATGTCAGCAGTCTCCACCTCATCTCTTCCCCTCTTTCTCTTTCATATCTTCCACCTCTCACCTTCTATCAGCAGGGCGGCGACGACGGCGCACGGGGGACGAGCTCGTCGGTTGGCCACGCCGCGCGCGGGGGAGTGGCCCGGCTCGAGCACGCAGAGGAGGCGGGAGGACGCCGGGGCATTGTCTGAGAGGGGGTCGTGGAGGACGAGGCAGCCCCTCCAAGTCGCCGGCCATCTGCGCGTGTGGAGGATCTCGCCGGCAGGGCTTGCGCGGGGAGGATCTCGTCGGCCGGCCACGCGCGGGGGAGAAGCTCGCCGGCCGGCCGCGCGCGGGGAGGATCTTGCCGGGCGTCCTTGCGCGTGGGAGGAGCTCGGCGGCCGTCCGCGCGCGGGGAAATAGCTCGGCGGCCGTCCGCGCGCGGGAGAAGCTCGCCGTCCGTCCGAGAAGGAAGCCACTGGGGATGTCGCCGAGGGCCGGGTTGTGCTGCAGCATGAGGACGGAGAGGCTCCGGCACGGGGACGACGGCGGCATTGCCAGCAGCTGCGTATGGCGGACACCCGCTCCGCGTCGCGCGCACGCTAGAAGAACTCCGCTAGCTTGTTTGCTGTTTGCTCGTGTTCTTCGACGATTTCGTGGTCTCTAATTTGTTTTGTTCGTTCTCCTTTCTTGTTTCGCGTGATCACCGGCGTCTTCTCTGAATTCGGCAACCATCATGTGCTACTTGTCTTGCCGTTGATCTTGCTGCTCGATTCTATCGCCTCGCCTCCGCTTCTTGATTTTTTTCCTTTCCCGTTTCTTGAAGGGAATCATGGTGAGGGAGAAGATGAGATGAGGTGGAGACCGCTGACATGTGGGTCCTGCTTGATGACTCAGCAAGTCAACTGCCATATAAGCAAGTCAATTGCCACATAGGATAAAACCGCTTCCAAAACCGTCCGGGAAGTTGATTTGCAACGGTTTTCGGAGTTGGGGGATGGGTTATAGCCGGTTTTGCGGTTGAGGGATGCTATTCATACACGGCCATAAGTTGAGGGAGGAAAAGTGAACTTATTCCTTACTACTACTAGGAAGGAAGGAAAGGGACCGTGTCCGTTTGGTGTTGGGTAATCCAGCCCAGCGAGTTAAGTGGGCTGGGCATTGGCTCCAGGGTACACCGTATCCGATTCCTACGAGGATAGGTATCCGCGGCGTATAAAGAGAGAGGAGGCCGGGCAGGTGCGGTGCGGCTAGCGTTGTTTGTGGCGGCGGTAGGCGTAGCAGTAGGAGATATGAAGCGGCGAAAAATTCACAAATCGACAGCAAGCCGGGGGCTCAGATCCGGCGTGCAATCCCCAAAAAATCCAGGGAAGAGAGCAGCGAGTCGGAGCGGCGCCTCCTCCTCCGATGGCCCCCGCTTCGGCAGATTCACCTGTTACCACGGGGAGGAGGAGAAGCGATGGCACCCTCCGGCCAACGAAATCCTCCGGTCCATACAGAAGCTGTACGACGAGGCGGCGCGGCGGCTGCCCTTGGACGAGATCCCGGAGCTCGTCGACTGCCTCGGCGAGGTCGGACACTGCTTCGGCCTCGCCGACCCCGTCAGCAACATCATCCTCAACGCCATCGCCCACCTCTCCGGATCACCGCCCCTCCAACTCCAAGACCACCCACCGCCGCTCCCCCGGAAGAGGACCCGCAGGAGCTACAGCGAGTGGTGGGGGTTCATCTCATCCACCTCTCTCAACGGCCTCATCGCCTTCATGAAGGTCTATTTCCGCTACCTCACCGGCGACCAGGCCAGGCGCTACCTCTACCTCGCCTCCTACGACCTCCTCCTCGCCATCAAGTTGGTCCACCATGACCGCCATCTCCCACTCCCGCCATCCCCCCTCCTCCCCGACGGTGGCAAGATGAAGAACGCCCTCCGGATCGCCGCGCTCAAAGCAGGCCACCCCGCGCCCGACGACCTGGCGCGCACCATGACCGCGCAGTACCCCTCTCATCTACTCTCCCCTATCGTCCACAAGCTTCAGGGGTCGGACCTGCTCACCACCCATGACGTCCAGTCCATCAAGGACCTGCTCCTCAACGCATTCCAATGGCCCCCGCCCAACATGGACTTCTTGTGCTGCCCAAATGGTGAGTCTTGTGCTCAAGCCGCCCCCGACCGTTTTGCTGGAATCTCACCAAATCATGTTCAATTTCAGAAACTCCTATACATCTCGGATCTTACGATAGATAGCGCAGCCATAGAGACAAAGCTATCAAAATGCGTAGCGAAAGTGCTTGGTGGTTGTGAAGAACATGGACATGTGAACTATGATGCCTCCCCGCCATGTGAGCACATATTGTCCCTGAACATGTGCCTCCTCGACACCATCCATTGCTTCTACATCAGGGCACTTGCCGTGCTGCCCCTGCCCGTATCAGATGACTCCATGCGCCGCGGACGCCTCCTCCGCGCAATCCTCATGTCTGGACAATGCTTCGGCCCCTTGGATCCCGTATCAAACATCATCATCAACACCCTCTGGTACGACGCCGCATACCCTCCCCTGTATCCAAAGGATGGCGGTGGCGGCGATTGTGAGGTTGAGTTGCCGCAGGATATCTCTGACACCCAAGCCATGTCTCGCATTGCATCCCGTTCCCTCAACGGCCTTGTCGCCCTACTCCGTGCCATCACCACCACCACCACTGGCTGCTCGCTCTCCAAGCATGAGGCCGTGGAGTACCTTTGGTCCAGGCAGTGTGACCTCACTGACAAGCTACAGCAGACGGTGATGACGAACAAGAACCCCTACTCTGCTGCAGCCAAGGCTTCAGAGCACCCGCAGCACACCATGCTTGGGTCATTCCTCATGTCCCTCTGCGGCGAGAAGCTTGATCGCCTGCAGCACTTGCTGAGATCCATTAGTGATGGCTCCGGCTGTGTAATCTCCAACGCTGATTGGGAGCAGCTTAACGCAATGATCCAAGAGCAGCTAACCACGATGATTGGCAGAAAAAGACTGCCTCCATTTGATACACAAGCTTTAGCAGCATTATCGAGGAGAAGGTCAGACTATGTGAACCGGCAAAGGTTTGTTCGCAGCAAGCTGGAAGAATTGCTAGTCACATACTCCAGACAGCATCCTTGGGTAAATTTAGAGTATAAACGTTTTTTTATTTTTGTTTGATTGCTGCATTTGCTTTCTTCCAGTGTGCTAAGACTTCGTCTACCCTTGTTTGTTATTGCAGGAACCAAGATATAAGCTTGACCTCATATGTGGAGTGGAGGAACCTCAATCCCACTACTGGAGATGCTACCATGCTAACTTCTTGGCAAGCACCCATGGCACTGTGCTCAAACTAAATCGTGAGGCAACCACAACACCAAACCCTAAGCGCACACTCTTCTTTGCTCAATTCTGGGACTCACAACCTGGTCGATTTAATGAATCAAACTCGAAGCCCATCTGCTGCCCTGTTCAAGATAGCACATGTTTTGGTGAGTCACTGAACTCTAAGTTGTGGTGCTCCTAATTTATTTTTCGTCAAGTAGTACACAAATTGTAGCAACCATTATTGCCATTGGCATGTATGTTGATGTCTTTGTTTTGGCTTTATGAACAGGTCTTTGCACCACTTGTGAGGGCAATGCAAGTACAATTTTGCACCCACCATCTGGATATCTTTTTGAGGATGATGTTGATGACGCCATTGAAGTTTATGATGTTAATGCTGCTATTGATGTGTTTGGTTCTGCTTCGTGCAGTCTTAGTAAAGATAAAGATAAAGGCCTGCTAGAGTCAGATTTCATATATTTTGATCATGGAAGGAATGCAAATCTTACAAAGATTCTGAATGACGACTCTATTTTATGATGAAGACAATGGTGATGATATAGCTCTGCTGTTAGATTTGGAGGGGATTTATTGACATATATTGAGGTGTGGAATTATTTATCCTCGAACCCCTCCAATCCCTCTGAACAAGGCTTAATATGGATGAGGAGGGGATCATTATTCAGGTTACAAGTTTGTCTAGTCATTGTAATAACAGAAGAATCTATATTTGCTTTTGGACAATGAGTCGCAACACTGTATATTTGTATATTTGCTGTAACTAGCAATGGGGCCGTGCTTTACTACGGAAATTACAGTAACCCATACAGAAAAACTGTATCCCGTCGGAGGGACAATGTAGAGTGTTCACGCCGCCAAAATTGAAAGTTTGGTTGAAATTAGAACAATGTGATGAAAAAGTTGGAAGTTTGTGTGTAGAAAAGTTTTGATGTGATGGAAAAGTTAGAAGTTTTAAAAAAAAATTAGAACTAAACTCAAATTTGGAACTAAACTCGGCCGTAGTTAACGATGTCCATCCATCGTTACACCTCTGAGACGAGCCGCACGACACGTTGGGTGTGTTTGGTTGCTGGTCACACTTTACCACAACTAACATTAGGCAAGTTGTGGCAGCCACAAAAGTGTGGTGGACAAATTGCTAGCCACAAAGTGTGGCAAAGTTGGCAAGAAAATTAAGTCTATGACATGTGGGACATGCTATTGAAAAAGTGTGGCAAGCCACAACTGTGGCAGTAAACTAAACACATGCTTAAGAGACTGCCTAAGAGACTGTGGCAGCCACAAGTGTGGTGTGGCAAAGTGTTGCCATGAACCAAACATCCCCGTTGTTTCTGCCAATGCAAAAGCTAAGCTATTTTCTCCGTTAAAAAAAAAAGCTAACCTAGTGCTAGAATGGGACTTATAGGTTGACTTTTTTTTTTTTTACGGAGGGAGTGTACATGCTAGCTGCATGCTACTGTCTATTCTCTTCCTTTTAAGTATCACCTGAAAAAAAAATGCGACTATCCAGGCCAACTCTTCTATAATCTTCTCAAATTTCATTAATCCACTTTTTTTCGCGTGTGTATCTACATGATATATATCTCGTCCTTTTGTTTTTCTTCAATTTGTTTTTGCGAATTTTGTCAAATTTTATTAGAATTTAGTCAAAATTTGTTAAATTGTAAATAATGTCGTGCAAAAAGTTCCAAAAGTCTTGAAATTACTGAAATTTCGACCGTTTCTACAAGTGTTAACCCTAAATACGCCTACAATATCTATGATACAAACATTAAATATAGACGATACTCATGAAACTTATGTGGTACTATGATATCTCGTGGTGCCTTCAAATTTCATGTCACTGTTACCATAGTACCACGTGATACTTCGTACCACGCGATACTTCCTTGTATCATAGTACTTTTCCAATATCATGTTACTTAGGCAGAGGGACTAAACTTTAGTCAGTCCCAAACACCCCATTAGGATATCATGATATCTCGTGGTACATCAAGTGTTATGGTACTTGCAAGTATCATGGTATGTACGATACCAATGACACCTTGTAGTACCTCTCGGTATTTATTTATAGTACCTAAAAGGGTATCATGTTATCTACAGTATCAAGCATGATACTTACATGTATCAGACATGATATATAGGTAGCAGGGGATGATACATGTGTATTAGGTCTGATATTTATGGGTACCAGCTCTGGTAGCCATGTACTAGATTTAGGGGTTGTTTGGTTGCTGCCCTGAGCAACATGCCTGAAATTTCTGTGCGCCTGAGTGGCATGCGAGAAGACAATGCATCTAACCTGGTCAGGTAGCCTGAGTATATGCTTGTTTGGTTGTTTGTTGCTGCCTGAGAAACAAATATGCAATTACGCCTTTAATTATTACACAGCTAAATCAATTATTAATGGCCGTCACAAATCTTGCCACAAATTGCATCTAAACCTCCTGCCAAGATCCATTTATGAACCCAACTTCCCATGTACAAGCACAAATCTTGCATACATAACGAGGATAAAAATCTAGAAAAAAAAGCAGGGAAAAAAAGAGAGAGGAGAACGCAATCGAAGAGTCAAATAGATCCCAAATCCGTGCATCAGGAGCACAACCTTCAGATGATTCTGCCCAGATGTGCAAATGCATCTGGCAACCTGCAAATCGATCTGCTTACTATTTTGCACGAAAGGCAGCCTGGGCAGCATCTAGCATGGGCGGTGCTGCTATGCTGGGATCCGGCAAGACGGCGACAGCTTCACCCGCCGGCGGGAGCAACACAGCTTCGCAGGGATCCGGCAAAACGGCGGTGGCTTCGCACGCCAGCGAGAGTAGCATAGCTTCGCAGGGATTACGAAAGACGGCGGGCGGCGGCGGCTTCGCAAGGATCCGGCAAGATGGCGGTCGGCGGCGGCTTCGCGGAAGCAGCGCAGCTTCGCTCCTGGAATCTACGTCGCGTGGCCGCTTTGGATAAAGATTAGGATGGTAAGTATGTATCGCTGTTGCTGCCTGGAGCTCAGGCGATCGATTTCGGTCGCCTGGCTCACGCTAATGACGGGAAGGGCTGCGTCAGGGCAGGCGAAGGGTTTGGAATCTAAGGGCACCAACCAAACAAGACCTGTGTTAGTCTCAGGCTGGCTTTAGGTCAGGCAATTTCTCTCAGGGTAGCAACCAAATAGCCCCTTACTACTGATACCTTATGGGTATCAAGTACTAGCTGATAAAAGTAGGGGTGGGTAAAAAAAACCGAACCGAAAAGACTGAGACCGAGAAATTCGGTTATCAATTCGGTCCTAAGTAGTGAAAGACCAAATTTTATTCGGTCAATTCGGTTAGTCTCCTCGGGTAGCCGAATAGACCGAAAAGACCGAATTATCAAAAAATGACTAAATGCAACCTACAATCCACTATGTTTAATAGGATTAAACTTTAATTTTCACATCCCTACTTCTTCTAGGCATGCAACCTAATAAGAGTCTTTACTCATAAGTGCTTATGAATTCTTTTTGTGATTTTGTGTTGAAAATTTCCATTATTTCTTTGCATATATGAAAATGTTGTTGAATTTCGGTCAGGACTGAGACCGAGACCGAATTTGTCGGTCCTGACATTTTTCGCGCTGAAATTCGGACTTCACTTTTCAAAGACCGAAAAGATCGAAAGACCAAAGACCGAGACCGTAATTTTCGGTTAGACCGAATGCCCACCCCTAGATAACAGTGAAGAGTAGAAGTGATTTAGCTTAGAAGGTTAACTTGGAGGTGAATTGATAGGAAACCTTAGTGTAAACTGATTTAATTCAGTTTTACCTAGACTCGGTGACTATTTCGGTAGTGCTATCAGGTGGTTAGGCTAGATTTAGTTCGAACAATGCTCCCAACTAATGAAATCATTGTCATGATTAATATTTGTGATGAATAATTGGCTGCGCAAATGATTTAATAAATAATTGGTTTAAATAGATGTGTGGATGTTGGTGTGAGTACATGTGACTAATGTGGGTCAGGTTGTGATATCTGTGCCTAGAAACGGTTGTTTTGTCTGATTATATGCATGTGACTTGAGGTCAGCCTTGGTCAATGGTGAAGACCGCGACTATGCTCAGGGAGGAGCAGAGGTCTAGTGCGGTCAGGATATCATGTGAGAAGGTGACTAGAGTCAGGATTCTTGGAGGTTAACTTCGGTCAATGGTCGGGATCGGGACTAGATTTAGGGAGGAGTTGAGGTCCAAACGGTCAAAAATACCGAGTGACGAAGTTGGATATGAGATGGCATACGGTGGATGAACATCATGTGGAAGAGATCTTCGCAACGGGATTTACGAGGTGTGTGTGCAAGTGTTGGTGTTCACGAAGGAGATTGGATTAAATTTGAGGAGAAAAAGGGATGCATGGTGAAGCGTGTATGTGTGCATGATCGGTTGCACCGAGCAGCGGCAGAGCGGCTCGGTGGGCTTCGGTGGCAGCTGGCTGGAGGCCGAGTTGGTCCAGGAGTAGGAGGCCCAGCTGGCCCATGCGGCAGGAAGGACGTGCGCACGAGGAGTCCGAGTGCGTACGGGACACGCGTCGACAGCGGAGAGGAGTCCGTTTCGATGCGGTTTTGGATTTTATGTGGCCGGTGCGGTTTTGGAAATTAAGGTATTTCGGGTATTGAGTCCTATTGGAAATAGAAGTTTTACACCTATTTTGAGTAGTGTTTTTTGGTATAAATAGAGAGGGAATGTGATGTCTCCCGGTATCGCTTTGAGAGCAATTGAGCTGCTAGTTTAGCTAGGGTTTTGAGTTTAGTCGAGATTTTTTGTAAGGGGTGCTGTTGTTGCACTTTATAAACACAGAGAGAAGCAATAAAGTTGTCATCTACTTTGAGAGTTCTTCGATCTGTGTTTTATCGGGTTCGGCGGCATCCCGGCGGTCAGACCGGCAGCTTATAGGCGGTCAGACCGGCGGCGGCGACAGGCGAAGGCAGGCGATCTCGGCGGTTCGACCGATCGATCTACATCGGTCAGACCGACGTGTTCCAGGCGGTCAGACCGACACATCTACTTCGGTTAGACCGTGATCCGTCGAATTTGAGGGTAGCTTTTATTTTCGCTAAAAGTTTTTGGGTTTTTGGTTTTCCCTACCATTTACCCCCCTCTGGTAGGCTTGGTTACTTGTGTTCGATCCTATACCAACACTTCTCCCCCTCTTCCTTCTTGGTTCTACACCGGCAAACTGAGTGCAAAAAATGCAAAGGGGACACTGATGCTCGGACAGTGGAACGGCGAAATTGCTAATGGGTGCACGACTCGCGCGCGTTTCCGGCCCAAGCCTCACGCGCGGCCCACATCCTCATCCGCGTATGCGCGAGATGCTTATCGGTGCATGGCGCTAAGCCCACACCGGCCCACAGAAGCGGAAGCAAGCACGTCTGACTTGTTTTTGTCTTTCTCTTTTCTATCTCACGTGATTAGCTTCATATCATTTATATACACGGTGTATGAAAAAAAATTGAAATTCGAATGAACTTTATACTGAAAATTTAAAACTTTCAATTTAAATTTGAAAACTTTTAAGTCAAGATTTGAAAACTTTCAATTTAAATTTGAAAACTTTCAGTCAAGATTTGAAAATTTTCAACTCAAATTTGAAAACTTTCAATTGAAATTTTTAAACTTTCAACTCAAGATAAAAAACTTTTGAAGTCAAAATTTGAAAACTTTCAACTCAAATTCGAAAACTTTCAACTAAACATTGAAAACTTTCAATTCGTATTTTAAAATTTTCAACCCAACTATTTTATTTATCATTTCATTAAAAAAATCAATTAGTATAAACCGCTAAAGATTAGCACTAACACATATTTTAGCGGAAGGCTCGGAAGGTGCTCGCGTGGGACTGGGAGCAAGTGCGCGT